GTTTTACAACTAAACTTATTGTATAAATATTTAGAATTAGATATTAATGAATGGCAGTTAGGTGGTTGTAAGCTACACCGTGAATCAAATTTGAACGTATACAGTCAGTGAGTATACAGCACTGTTCAAAAGTAACCTCCCTAATTCGGGACAGGAATGAGTAAATGCTTTAAATTCCCGCATGTATAGTGTATCATAAACTGTAAAATTTCAGCTCGGTCGGATGTCTCCATCAAAATTTCCAAACATTCATTATTTGTCTCTAAAACATATCAAAACGGCACATCTATTCGAACATGAGCTTTAAAAATTCACGTGTTTCTAACAGATTTGCACAATTTTTGCTTTGCTTATCAGATCTTCTCTATGTATTTCTTGAGATGTATGGTTGAATTAGAAGAAAAATCCTTGTTATCCTTGGCAATAAACGCATGATATCCAATCAGTGTCATTATGCCGCACAATTATTTGCATTCTGCAGCAGCAATCACATAGCAATTTGTTCAAAAATTATATAAATGCATTCTGATGGTGGGAATTTGGTTAGAAATGTGTCGAGATATGAATTTTTAATTTCTATGGCCGAAATAGCGTATAGTCTGATACCTCGAAAGTAAAATATTTGATATTTAAAAATTTGCCAGACATTCGATCAAGCTGAAAACCAGGGTTTATAATACACTACACGCACGGAAATTTTCAAAGCATTTACTCGTTTTTGTCCCGAATTAGGAGTGTTCAATTACTATTGAATAGACAATATAACATAGTGAGAAAGCCATATTGCTGACCTGAGATAGATTAATTTCAATGTTAGAAAGCACGTAAGTCTTTTTTGTAATACATTTTGGATTAACTATTTTGTAATGGTAAGTCTAATACGTTCGCCGCGTTATTGAATAAAAATTGCACGGAGGTTGGACACAGTTATTTTTCTAAAGTACATGTAAACTTTTTGTGGGGTTTCCTGAGAATACCAGTAAAATTACTCGACAGTCATAAGTCACATTTCGGTTGGAGTCAAGGCTTGGAAACGACCGCGTTAATAATCAGAGCACCATATTTAAAGGCTTCAAGAGAAACAATGTACGTTAAAGGACCGTGTGAAATTAATATCGAATTAAATAAGATATTAATATGCTTGATTACGATTTACAGTGTGTAACAAAGGGTTTGATTTTTTTTTTTCGCGTGCTTCAAATGTTAATAACTTTTTCGTAAACAAATAAAGTTTAAATGGCTGTTACAAATGACATCTTCTAATAAAGACGCCCAACCATATTGAACTTGTGGCTGAATATAATTATTTCTGCAGAAGAAATACATTCCAAGACTGGCATCACAAAATCAACTATCTATTATAATCTTAAAAAACTGAATGAAAATTCAAGAAAATCAGCAAGTGGTCGTCCCAAGAAAATTGCCGCACACGAATCGAAAGCAATAGTCAATATTTGCGTCGTGATCCGAGACTGTCTACAAGAAATTTGGCGATTAATATGTCATAACACAACCACATTTCGATGCCTAGCATCAAAGTCTGAGGATTGATCACGTAACAGTATCCGAATTTAAATAAGTTTACGTAATTAATGGTACTGGCGAATGATTAGTTGCTCGATTTACAACGTTGAATGAGGGATATGTTATTTAATGATACGATCTGATGTTAATGTTAATATTATAATTGTTAAAACTATTCAAATGTCACTAATGCGAAATTGTACCTCCCCTGATATATGCCAAATTTGGCAATATACCCAAGCGTTACACACGGATCGGGTATTAGTGTAAAACATTGCGAATGCTCTCTCTCCGTGATTGTACTTATTCAAACGATGTCATTAGTTCCAGGGGTTAACAATCCAGCAATTGACAACTTGGTCCAATCCTCCTTGGATATTACATGGATTCCTTACGAAGAAATCATCGACATAAAACCAACTCAAGTTGACAACATCTACAACGCTACTTACAGATACACACTATACGATGGTGAAGTCGTTGAAAGAATAATAATACTGGTATTCCTTGGAAGTAAAGAAGAATGCACACCAACACTTGTGAGTGAGTTTGCTAGAATATACTCACTTCCAACTACAACACACAAGTACGACAATGATGTTAATCAGTTCAGAAGATATTCCAAATGGCTTGAATACCGCAATGACAAAATATATGGATGTACCAAGTATGATAGCGACTATTACATGGTTGCTGATAGAAAATTTTACGGTTGTTATTCTCGATATGGATACTGCTCCGCATGTGGAATACTCCGATGTAGTCCTGTGTGGTGCATTTGCGGACATAAACAATTATCCAATGGATGGATTAGCAACAACAAGCAAATCGATGAGTTTATTAAGAAATCTCAATTACAAACAAACTCACCAAATGATGCCTATTTGGAATGGATTCCATTCGATTATATTGAATATTGTAATTGGGGTCATATATGGTTGTATGGTCTACCTATTACTCGTTATCATGCAAAGGTTAAATTGATTCCACTTGAAATAACAGACGAGACACATGATTTATATTATGCCGAGGTAAACTATTTACTTTTGCGTCATGTTTATTGAATAGTTTAACTTATTATTATGTATCATTTCCTCTAGTTATGTGATAAGTATCCAGATATTCTTACCACGGATGTTTGGGTTACCATCGGATTCACTTATGATGCAAGTATACAAAAGTATTGTCTCATAAAAGTTGACGATGGATTATGTCTGGCGTGTGCAGATCAATTAGAACCTGTGATAAAAGCATTTTGTTATAAATGTAAAGCACCAAGACCTGTTGATTGGACGACTGGCAACAAGTCTTTGGATTCATTCATTATGCAGTCGTGGAGTAATATGGCGAGGGAAAACGATGCTTATATACAATGGATCGAATACTCTCAATTATCAAACGTACAAGAGATGACATCATTACCCCATAGATGCACGTATATAGCAGATTGGTTAGAGCCGGCAACAAATGAATTGACACACGTGACACTCAAAAAGATAGTTGATGAACAAAACAATCCATTATTTGATTTTTATCAGGTAAATTATTTTGTGCAATTGATAAGTGTATATCGTGCATTAACATTGATTATTGTTGTAATGACTATTTTATTTACTCAAACAGCTAACCAAGGAATACCCCGAAATATTGGCTCTGGATAATATTTGGATAATTGGGATCACTCGAGAACCATCTTCTCGTGAATATTATCTAGTGTTTTACCACATACATGTAGTATTGGACAAATTTATGAAAACTAATTCACTTGTCAAGTATATTCCATATACTGACTTTAATGGAATTAAGGAAATTGGATCTGGATGTTATGCAACAGTCTATTCCGCTAAATATAAAAAGTATTTAGAAGAGGATATGCCACAAACTGTTGTACTCAAACGGTTTAAGAGTTTTGATGGAATGCCAGAATTATTTATTTCTGAGGTAAGTAACCTTTATTAATCTTAATAATTAATTAAAGCGATATTTAATTTGACGCTGTATTTATTTTATTTAATAGTTCAGAAATCATGCCAAGTGTTCAAATAATCGTTTGTTCCTTCAAATTTATGGATTCACACAAGGCCCAGAATCAAAAGAGTACATGATTGTTATGCAATATGCTAACAATGGTAATCTTTTGTCTTATTTGGATCAAAATATTAACAAGTTGACATGGAGGATGAAATTACAGTGTTTGTATAAGATTGCGGATGATCTGTGGACTATTCATGATGCAGGATTGGTGCATTGCGATCTTCATGGCGGAAACATTGTTCTTGATGACAATTACAATGGTGAAGACGATGAAGACGATGACGAAGATGATGATGACAAAGACAATGATGACGAAGACGGTGATGACGAAGACAATGACGCGACAGAAAAAGAGTTCCAAGTAAGTAAGTCATACATATGCGATCTTGGTCTCTCGCGATCGGCGAATTCGCGTGAGTCAAATTCAACCATTCAAGGCGTTTTATCCTTTACTGCACCGGAAGTCTTCCATACCCGCAAATTTACTCGGAAATCAGACATATATGCATTTGGTATTATTATGTATTTGATTGCCTCTGGTGAACCACCTTTTAGAGATAGGCAGTTCGATAGAGATTTAATATGCGACATTATGAGCGGACTACGACCATTGATGCCTGATTCTGCACCAGATGAATACAAGAAACTTGCCGAGCGGTGTTGTAATGCTGATCCCGACAAGCGTCCAGATGTATATGAACTTCAGAGTAATATTAACGAGCTTAGTAGAGAGGCGGATAATTCTGATGACAATGTGTGGAATGCCATTCGAATTATATGATGTCTTATGTCAATATAGTTGAGTTAACAGGATTTCGAAATAAAATCATACGCGTTTACTGTTAGCTGCCTGATCATTTGAATATGTAAAATATACAGTTTGCCTTGATTTCTAAAAATTATGTTATTAAAGCCAAATAAACTATTTTATTTCTTCAAAGTAGTTACCATCATTGTCTATACACCTTTGCAGCCTTTTTCCCCAACTCTCAAAACATTTGTAATACTCCTCTTCTGGGATACCTGAAACAACACTTTTCGATCTTGTCATACTTCATATTTTTAAAATGTTCAAAGATAGTGCTTACTATTACTCAATTTCTGTAACCACCAGCTTTCGATGGATTTCAGCCATTTTTCCATTCAACAAAAAATAGTAACGTTGGTTTCACGAGTAGAATGTTTAATAGGCAACTTTGAACAAGAAGGTTTTTTTTGTCAGATTAAAAGGTTTGCAAATCTTGAAATTGTCAAGCATACCACTAGTCGAGCTTACGGTGTTCGTCAGCTGATGCGTGCTTCGGCCAATAAGACAAGATTTTCTGCTCCGTGAGATCGCCGTTATTTAAGGCCTTGATAGATAAGGAATCACTCAACGCACCTGTGTTGATGAAAATCTCGAAATTTTGTCCAATCTTCAGCTTTTCATCGACACTCTCTTAATGCCAGTACAAAAAACAAAGCCGCTACTTCGTTCTGAACGCGATTTGTGCTACAATTTCCGGGATCTGTATTTTTCATGCCTCGAGAAGGCTGGTATTGAAGATCCAACCAAAGTGGAAGAAGAAAACGAACTAAGGAAAAAAGCTGAAACGTTTGGATGTTTAAAGAAGAATGATCAGTACAAGAGAGCTTGTCCTTCCTCTTGGGTGAGTATGAGGGACTAGAGTATGTACCGAGAATGGAAGGTATGGAGATCGTGTATGGCGCGAGCGCGTGTATATGTGTTATAACTGAGAGTGTGGGTTGAGGGACTTATTAAATTAGAACAACCGCTTTGTTTAGGTGAAATATTTTAATAAAAAAGTCATCATGGAGAAACGACGGCAAGCAATATTAGATCAAATAAACGCAGGAAAACAGGCTGCTTAACAAGAAGGAAGTAAGTTGTAAGAATGATTTCGAGTAATTAACAGAAATACAAGAGGAACGTATGCCGGGTTTGACTCTTTTACGATCATCTTTATTAGAGCTGTATTCTTCGGTTGATAAACGGGTGGCTGATGCTCTTTATTGAATTTACTGTGCGAATGGCTTTAGCTGGCTGACTATGGTATAGCACAGACATATGGAAGATTGAGTCGTGTCTCAAACAACAAGACGATATCAATGAGAAAGTTTTAGCAGATGTACGAATCGATATATATATGTGTATATGTATTGAAAAAAATTGTATTTCATACTTTTTTAATATACTTGACGTCTACGTCCACAAACACCTACAATTACCGAAACCTATCATTATATGCTTTCTATAAAATATTAATTATACCTTGTAATTGTGATCATTATTCTGTAGCAGTGATATCAGTTTGTAATTCTCCACTTGGCGGCTTCTCTGAATCAACATGTATTGGCATTTCATTTCCAGTCGTCTCTTCATCCACGTCAACCAGTGTTTCAACTATTGTTGGTGGAGATTGATATGCGACTTCTAATACAAGAGATGGGTAAAATGAAACGATGCAGGTGTTAGCAATTTGTAAGGTGGGAAAATTGCCGTACAATACTACAAATTGTCGATAGACTGTTATGTATCACCCCATCCGGTACCTACCATGACTCTTCTCGTTTATTGTTTCATTTCCATCTTGCCTCTCCTTGCCCTTGCCACCGTTTTTTGCGCTGACCTCGTCGTCCTTCTGATCTACGGCGTCCCTCACCTCGTTTGCTACTTTATTATTTAGATCTCCGCTCCCTCTTCTCTTCTTGACTTTAGGGATTCTATGGAGATATCCATATCCGACCCCACATCCGAGCGAACCCTCTCCACCCCACTCATGATTCGGCACGATTATGACTTCTCGACATACATCCCTGTCAGCATTGTAAACGTACAGATGGAGAGGGCGACCGAGACGTGACTCGATAAGAGAGTCGAGATCACTTTCACCACGAAGAGTGACATGCGGAGTGCCAATTATGTAATCGGTGTATGGGACCAATCCGGCCATTTCAGCCGGGCTATCTGGAGCGACATCGAGGATATGCCAAACATGTTCGTTGATAGCCTAAATATGAGAGTGATTGTTCAGCAGAGTGGAAAAATCCAATGCATAGCAATTTGTTGAAATAGTATAGTATGCCCTACGTACCTCGTAAGAACAGAATCGAATGCTCAATCCTACGTCATAAACAAGTTTCGATTTAGCGCCGCATTTGGTCATTTGCTTTTTTCAACATACTCATCCAATAGTTACCGATTAAGCCATCCTCTGGTTTTGTTGTCCAATCTGTGTTGGGTATGAGAGTCACCTCTACGCTTAGATCATGTTAATAATATGACATGTGAATGAGATAATCGAATAAAAATCATCTACAGCATGCTAATTCTAGAAAAGAGTAAATGAGCACCTCTTAGTTCTTGTTCTTTCGTTGAATATATTGACAATATGACTTCATTGTTTATGTTATCCTGTAGTTGCTCTTGCAATGTCTTACTTTCTGGATTGTCCTAAAAGCAATATCATTTGGTATACTGATCAATAAGGATAATAAGAATCGGCCAAAGTGTGGATCAAAAAATTGGCCATTACCAAAGGAAAACCGTTTATCCCAACAACATAGTCGAAAAACGGCTCTATCCCTGCCTCATGAGCCGGGGAGCCGTCATATACCTGAAAAAACGAGTAATAGGGTTATAGAGTGTGTAGGATAGACAAGGGAAGTGAGTGGTATACTTACCCTCAATACATGATATCCTTTTCCAGACTGTGAACTTTGAGTTCCTCCCATCGATATACCGCAGTTGGAGGTCAAGAGAGTAAATGTTGTAACATAAATTAAAGTTGCGGAAACCTCAGGGGGTTGACCTCAGCTATCATTGGTTGAAACTTAGCTCTATTTCAGGTTACAACGGGTCGATCCCCCTACAACGACTCGCGTCAAACATTAAAATGGTTCATCATGAAACATGCAATCCGAAACAAGACTTCAGACACAATTTGCAAAAATAACAGTTCTATATATTATTTAATAGTGGTGAAATAACACTGGTTATGAGATTAATCTGTTTGTGTACCGAGAGAATGTTCCGTTATTACGAAGAATCTCTTCCATAACTGTAAAATTCTCTCTAAATGCTCGATAAAACTCTGTATTATATACGGATTTAATGCATAACGAACATTGTTGGACTTTTGTCATAAAACTTTGTTAGCTGCAAGCGATCTATTATTGAAACTGATTTGTTCGAACAAAAGGATAATAAATGTAATTTTTAAATACCTGTTAAACCTCTCGCGATAAACTGAGTAAAGAAGACTACGTGTTTACACCATGTGTAGTTAAAGCTAAGAAAAAATCATGTTTGACATACAACAGAGCGACACAGTTCGCTAAGATTAATACAATGGAGCGATACTATTCGCTGAGAAGACTGATGCTCGAACAAGAGTTAAAGATGTAACGTGAATAATATTATTTGTATCAAATCTTTTCGTCGGCTCGTAACGTAGTAGTTTTACTATGTGTTCCTTCGTAACGAACATTTAATATTGTAACTTTTTTAACCAACATGAAGAAGGCTAATATCGATGATGTTAAATGAAAGAGAGTCAATGTTTATCATTATCTCTAGTGCGTGTAGAAAGGCGTATTACGGTCCAAGGCTTATATATACGGTTGGATACAACAAACCGATTTATTGTTCGTCTCACTTAACATATCGAAGAAGTAACTCAACCTCCAATACATTCCAACCTCTGAGTATGGATAACGTTGGGTGAATGGGAATTTCTCTTACGGGATATTCGACAGTTAACTTTCTCACAATTGTTATTGCTGGATAATTCACTGAACCGAAAGCTGACCCCGATATCATTTAGGGATATCGTTAGCCTATGGCAATGTTATGAGTTTATTTGTATTCCGTTGCAAATAAGTTAACACTCGACGCCAAGCAAAGAGTTGATACTTAAATCGTTGAACTAAGAAAGAGTAAAGAATTCGATATGACGCCAAGCGAAATATCAATATCACCACGCTCGTTGTGTTAAGCTTCCCTGAATCTTAGAAGGAATACGTGGAGAGTCGGGAATATTCGTCTAGACATGTGGTATCGTGGCGAGTCGTATACGTAACGGCTAACACAATTATAATTCGTACACAGGTCCAAAACTGGGAAGAACCCTCACAGCCTGAATATGATTTAATTTTGGGCAGTACGAGATTGATGGACGCGATGGAACATATTGGTATTCTAATGAAATATCATGCAAGAAATAGTATTGATATACTGCCTCCTTCGTTATGGTGTTTTGACTTGAGGCTACTTCACAGAATATTCTCCCATGAGGGCGTCACTATGTGAACATATAATATTAAGAAAATAATTCAACGTAAAGATGATAATAATACAAATTTAATGTACGTGTCTGGGGGAGCCAATAATTAAGAGTAAGTTTCAGAACATGTACCACATTTGGAGAAATTGTAATGTCTGCTGCTATTCTTTTCCCGGAAGTGGTTGGAACATAATGAACTATAGAAGAAACGTGGATTATTAAAGATCAAACAGACTAAATGGCCTGCAACTTTTATCGAGGATTACGTATTACACCGTCATTAGTATTAGGGATAACAAAGGTATCGATACAAGAGCTTCACGATGTGGAGTGGCCATATAAACAATGTAAACGTCTCCACTATCCCAATGAAATTTGTATCCAATTGATTCATTGCGGTCGAGAAAAGTATTACAGTTTTTCACAGAAATTTTCGACTCAATCTGAAAGGGCAAACTGCAGACCATATTGAGCGGATCTTAAGGAAACCATAGGGGCACACTCGCTTTATTTCTTCTAAGGAAATTTTGGCAGTTTGGGATAGTTATGGATTATGTTATCAACTTTGTTTCGAATTTCATTTACTTTCTTTATTGATTTCCAAACAGAGTTTGAGTAGACATTTTGAAATAATTATCTTCATTATTTTATTCATAGGAGTAGAAAGAGTCTTTCCGTCGGCTTGAAGCAGAGTTTTAGAGACAGCTGTCTTATGTTGCAACATATAGTAATTTTCTTCACAAATATAAAGTCTGCTTTAGTATATATGCGGTGGAAAGGGATTTAAAGGTATTATTGTGCGTCTACTCGAAGTTTAATAGATAAACCGTGTTGCTTAAGCAACCGTATATTCTTGGCCTAATTACAATACCATACTCATTATCGAAGAAGTTTAATCACTTATCTAACCGCCGTTTAAAAACCTCTTAGTATGGATAACGTTATACTTAGCAGAGAATGTCAAAGTAGGACTAACATGGCTTTACGTAAGTTGAGATGTTCAAAGATTGCTTCTGCTCTATGATGAAAAAGTATCCATATCTGGAATTAGTTAATCAGTTCACTGAGTCGCGAAGTATCATGATACTTGTTTTTGAATATTCACAGCACACATTCCAGAGCACAGGAGAAGGGGGAGCTGTAATAGTAATGTGAGCAAAAATAATTTGCTTATTATAGATCTCCTTTGTCATAGTGTAAAGCTGAGTAACAGGTATATTAATATGCTTTCATTCTCAGCAGAACCAAGTAATATGTGTATTTATCCACAGGTGGTAAATATTTGTATGTTATGAAATTGATTAGAACATGTTGGAATTGAACAATACTGTTTACAATATAATGACTAAGCATCGACCAACGGTATACAAGTAATAACAGTAATAGAACAAGGAGGAAGGATAAATCAACTAGAATTACAATTTGACAAGTGTCGGTTCAGAATAGACATACGTTCCAAACTGACATACGCCCTGTAAGTTCATGTAAAACCGCATTTAAGTAATTACTGTCTTACTAGGATATTATTATATGTATTCAAACAGCAATACATTAACAATATTAGCTATTTTGTTTACAGCAGTACTTGCAAAGATTGCTATATATGGCGGTGTGCAAACAATTATTATGTATGTTATTGGCAGCGTATGTGGTAGATGAAGTTTGTCTAAGCTTAGCATGCGTTGATTTTTTTTAATACTCAATAACCTACATTATATACGATTCGTGTGTGGAACTTTGACGCGATACTCGGTTAAAACCGTAGAATCACGCAAAATTAGAATCTATTAGCAGCTTTTCATGCTGCGCTTGATTAGATGGTTATGTTGTACCTCAGTTCGGGACTTGTCTCAGTTCTGGACCGAGACAACTGAAATGTCTGAGTTCTGGACTGTTCTGGACTGGGATGACTGAGTTCTAGACTGAGATGGTCCCGAACTGAGGTACAACAGCTACAATGACTCGTTTGTTCAAAGTATTGACTTGATGATGTATTAATTATGAACCAATTGAACAAGCTATTGAACAAAGAGACCGACGTACGTAGTAATCGATCGAGGATATGCTAATTATTTATTCTAGGTTAAATTGCTTACCTAGCATGTTATTTCTTACGCCTAATACATACTTTGTTAGGCTCACTACAGCTTAACTTTCTCGATACCCTTCAATTTAAAGTATCCAACAACGCAACGATGTCTTTACGATCACGCGTCATATTTGTATGGGTGTAGGCTCTTGCAATATGGCAGCAAATATTTTGAGAGATTAAAACTTTGATTAAGATTCAAATCTTTCTAGCGTTTTGTTTCATGACTTGATTGCATCTTGAATCCGTCGCATCTTACCGACGACAACATATGTCTTTCTTTGTTCTTTTATTCTACACACCGTCTGGCTTCTCCTCACGCAATATACATATCGATTAATGGTTTCCTATTCGTTATGTGTTATTGTAGTACACATAACAGATTAACTTGTTATATATACAAAAATGCAGCTACGGTCAATCTGGTAAACAGCATGCTGTTACATGCATGAAGTCGAGTGACATTAGCAAAGCAATCTTTGTTTCATTAGTACGAGGTAGATATTCGCCATCAACTTTACGCCAACAAAAGACAATATTCAAGTCTCTTGCTTGTCTTTAACAACTGACATAATTCGATACACCTTTGAACAGAACAACTCAATGTTAAGCACAAAGAGTAGTGAGATATCCTGTATTAGGGAAACTTGGCACAGTAGACCCACCAACAACACAACAAACACTTGCATAATCGACCCATATACGACTTTACGGCGCTTTAGTTTAGTTTTCGGGTATTGTTAACGTTTTAGGAATATAAACCCATTTGGAAAGATCGACCAGATGGCGTGGTTAATAAACGTAACGATCATAGATCATAGATAGATCGTTCTCCACCAAGCATTCAAACATCCGATCATTTTATGCATCATACAACGTTGTGCGTGTGAAGCAGAAAGAGTATGTACATACATACCTTATTATTATGAAGGTTTTGGCTACAGCATCACAACGCATGCATGCAATAATAGCTATCCCTCCATATAATCACCCTCTCTATAAGCACATCATATAAAACCTCTTTACAAGCACACTAAACCTAGAAACATTTGCACATTGTCCTGAAAAGAATACTTTTAGGTAGTCACGTCTTTTTTTGGCGCAGGTTCCCGATGGCGTGATTATTCAGGGGAAACTTGGTTAAGGCAGTAATTATGCAAACTCTATTTTCCATACAGTGGCGTGACATAATTATATGCAAACTCTATTTTCCATACAGTGGCGTGACATAATAATAATAATTATATGCAAACTTTATTTTCTACAGTGGCGTGACATTCCCAGCCAACCAGTGTCTGTGTAGGTGACCGACGCTTTGGTAACTGTAGAAAGTGTATAGTCATCTGGTATTTGGTGTGTCGTCGATTACACGACAAGTAAGAACAAATATGAGAATATTGACAAAACCTACTTATTCTGCTCCAAAGGGCAATGGATATTTCGATTTATTTTAAAATATCCTTTACTTGGTTTATTCCATTGCTAATTCATTACTAGTCTATTTCTTCTCACGCTTCTTACAAGTTCCACACGATTGGGAACACGGGATATTTTGACTAGAGCAATCGTGTTGTAACACTCACTTCTTGCGCCAATCACCTATCCCAATCCTGACAATAACCTATTGTTAACGCTCGCAAGTGATGGCGTTTACTACACAATCCACTGGTAACTTGATAAAGAGGTTCTTCAGTGTCAGCGTTTGCAAAGCTTTTTGTCTAGTTTTTTAGAGACGCGGTTGAACACTCGATCATGTAGGATGTAACACTGCGTGAATTGTCCACAGTGCTTGCTTATACTGTATAATGTGATATGGTAGGGTGCGCCCTCTCCAACTTTCGTGTAACATTGCAAAAAGTCTTAAAGCGTCCAATTGGCCCGTGCCATTTTCCAGGTGTCTTCTAAATAGAAACATCGAGTTGCAGATCAGCTTGATTATTAATTTTCCCGAACCCGCCAGTGCAAAAAGCAACACAACAAATCAACAAGATCACAAGGACTCGATAAATAATAATATATTTCGCCGAATGCAAGTGCATCTTTTGGTTTTCGGCCACCCCCCACCCCCAGCACCCCAAGATCAACAGGTATGAATTTGAGGTCAGGTGGATTGCTCGCTTTATACGGGTTTGATGTGTTTTTTCTTGTTCATTTATGATCTGGCACGTGATTAATTGACATCGGAGAAATTAATTGTTGATTGAGATCGTTTATGGGAATGTGTGTTGCTCTACACAGATACACAGAGAATGTGTAACGGGAAAAATCCATGCGACCTGGTTTAAATGTATGTATCCATTTCTATTTCTGACAAACAACATTTACTATCGTGATCGCAATCGACGTTATACATATGCAAACAGGACACAATACAAAAATTTTATTCGATCGCATGTGACATTAAAATGCCTTGAGCACGTGATCACGAGAATAATCATTTCGATACAGACAAGACAAGACAAGACAAGACGAGACAGCACACCCACACATATAATGATCATTACAAAAGAGAAAAAGATCTATTGTTTAGAGGCCCCCTTCTTAATTACCGCTTGGTAATTTTTTATTCGTATTATCCGTTTCAGGATGTAATAGTTTTTGCGTAGAGAAAAACCTTGTAGAGTAGTTTTGATTATTACATTTACTCTTGATTGTGAAATTTAAAAGTCATAGTGTACGGTAAATTGAAAAAAATAAGAAGGCAAAAAAAAAAGATGTATAGTTTTTTATATATAAACAGCATATACAGAAAATATCTGCGGAAAGTATACCAACAAATTAAAGCATTACAAATTATTATATAAAAGTTGTAATTGGCACCGCAGATAAAGACTGCGTAGAGTTGGCTTCGCTACCAAGGAATTCCTATCGTAACGAAAACAAGAGATCGTAAAGAAAATAATAACGTAATTTCGACAGTACGTTTTTACGCACAGTAATAATATCACAGAATGTACAAAGAAAAGAAAAATAAGTACGAATTATGGGAATGGAAGTTAAACAAACAAATGCAAAAAGAATAAGTGAAAAAAAAAAGTTTCGAGACCGGCACGAAAAAATGTAAGAAAAAAATAATAATTTTTGACAATTTATGGGCGAGAGAATGGAAGGAAAGGAAAAAACGATATGAAGTTGATTTTTTTTCCAACGCAACACGCGCGGCCCTTTTTCCAGCCCAAAAGTCAGAATAGATTGAGATGCTAATCTACAACCCAAGCAACTACTAGAAACCCATTTTTTTCTATTTACAAAACTCATAGTAAGACAAGAGGTGAGAAATATATAAAATATTCAGTGAGTTACTTAGTTAATACACATTATCATCCACAAGTAACCAATTTCATCAACACGACCCACGAACGCCCGCTGAAATCAGCTCTCTCGTTTCAGCTCTATCCATTATCTTCATTTTGTTTCGCGGTCTGATCTAGAACTCATTATTAACAGCGCGGGAATATCCAAGACCGGAAGTAGGTGGTAAAGCATGATGACTTCCAAATGCAGCCGAAATAGAAGGTAATCTATTATTATTGTATGCATTAGCGTCACTCATAGATAAATCTTGAGCAATAGTTGATGTAGCCGAGAACTCGGAAAGCCGATCCGGCGAAGATGAAGAATATGGCGATAAATGAGGAGAGCACTGGGAGGAATTAGAATGAACCTGCTGATATTGCTGCTGTTGCTGCTGTTGCTGCTGTTGCTGCTGTTGCTGCTGTTGCTGTTGATACTGTTGATACTGTTGATACTGTTGCGTTCGCTGATCATGAGAATTTACGCTTCCGCTTTGACTGGACACGGAACCCTCGTCTGACGACATTACGCTTTCGTTTCCATCTCCTATATCTCTATCGCATCCTTCGGCTGCCGGCGAATCAGGTACAGATAGACGCCCATCACTATCACAACAATCTTCAACATCTTCTCCCGTACTAGCATTGCTCAATCTCCTCAACTTGTTACCATTTCCTGCCTCCGCGTTGGCACGCCTTTTCTGTGATTTACCATTGTTCTCATCATTACCATCCTCGAGCGATGATGCTGTGGCAGGGCCACGGGTCTTGCTTCGCCAACTTTGTCGCTTGTTCTGGAACCATATTTGCACTGTCCGCGGCGACATTCCCAGCTGCTTTCCTAATTGAATACGCTGTTCGGTTGATGGGAAGAAGGTATGTTGAAATACCTGGTTTAATACTTTCAGCTGATTGGCGTTGGCTCTCTTACGTTTAGCTTTGACCATAGGAACAATTGGGACGGCAGAGTTGTGATCATGATGAAAGGTAGCATGAGTCATGTGCGAATGGGCATGATGCTGTTGGTGGTACATGTGTTGATGGAAAGGATATGAATGCTGTGGATATCCCTGATAAGTTGGAGGCAGTGCACGAAGCGGACCGTGAAAATGATGGATGCCATTTGAATATCTATCATGAGCATGCTCGATGGTGCTCGAGTGCGAAGGAGAATCCGAGTGTCGTCTCTGATCTTGCTGTGGCATGCGACGAGAAGAGTAATGCGCATTTGGCCCAGGAGATATGGGTGAATATCTCGACTGGGAAATGTCGTATGATGACCGACGGAGACTTGGCTGTTGATGAATGGCAGTCATGTGAGGACTGAGTTTTGTCATCGATCGTTGAACGGGAGAAACGTTTCCACTCATTTGAGGAGCAGGCAGCGAAGGTAGACGACGAATGCTGTTTGTATCTTGCAGATATGACTGTCCGTATGTTTCGGTTATAGTTGCTAGCTGTTCTAATCGTTGCATTTGTGACCATGGTTTGCAAGAATCGCGGGCAGCCGAGCCGTGATTAGGCTCGTGGTGTATGTCAGATCTCAAGTCATCTGCAGTTGTGAATGATTTGATGGAAGGAAGAGTTACTTTCTGTTTCAGCGAAATGGGCGGCGAGGATCGAGCGGACGGTTGCGGTTCTCGTTGTTGACGACCGTATGGTTCCGAGTCGGCGGCGCAATAGTGGTGAATCGGATATTTAACTTCGTGTAAGCATTGCGTACAACCATCGTGTTGAATATCATTATCTCCGGGAGAGAGCGGAGGCGACGAAGCGGGCGTGGCGGAAGAGACATGATTTTGACGGAGCATGAAAGAATTGAATTGTTCCGAGTCCATTATTTCGCTTTCGTCTTCCTGTTGCGAGTCAGCTGACGGAGAGTTCATTGATGTAGACGCAAAATCACATAAAAGACTATTGATCTCTAGCATGGATGATTTTCTTCTTGGGAATGGAGTCTTGGAAGATTCCATGGGCGGGAGAGATTGGTATTGAGGCTGGAGTTGTTTGCAGTGATCAGACGGGAGACTAGAGTAGTTGCTGTTGAGAGGGTGCTGTTGAGCGTAACGAATTTGAGACTGAGAAAAGGAGGAATGCTCCTTGTCGATAGGAGAATGGTGTTTGTGAGGCATTGTCGTCGTAGGCATTTGATTAAGTTGTGAAGACGGAGCAGGCGCTTGTACCATGCAATAGTAATATGGGAAAGAAACAGTTTAATCTGTTTAATGCGAAATGTAAAAAAGCAGTAGTCGTTAGAGTCGTGTAATGATGAAAAAGGAGAGAGGAGAAGGGAGGAGGAAGGGAAGCGAATGGAGAAGAGAAAGTAGTTGGTATAAGCAAGGAATGAAAGAGTTTTTTTCGCGCTGTTAAGTCGATGCCTAATCGGATATTTATAGATAGAGGGAAAGGAAAGGGGTTGAAAGTTTTGTGGAATTGGGAACCAATTGAACTGCATAAGTGTATAAAATAAATATTGTGTGAGTAAAGTAAATGTGGGAGCAGTAGATATGAATGAATAAACGAATAAATAAATAAACATTACATAAATCAAATTAAAGTGTGATATGCAACAACAACAACAACAACAACAAAAGTATACTGTATATAAATGTCGAAAAAATTAAAGTAAATAATTTGATTATAAATAATAAATAAGTGTTATTAATGTAATTAATATAAGAATATGATCGTACAATTCAATAAAACTAATACTAACTAATTTAATAATACATATAATCTAATATGTTGTGTAAATAATATTACTGCAGTCAATCGCCCCTTACTTATGTATAATCCACTTAAATAAGCTATCAAAGTAACGCTTAACAGCTAACGAGAATGGATACTATGAGCAGCAAGTACAAGTAGAGGGGGTCATGGAAAGAAAAAGGGGGGGGGGGGAGAGGGAAATGGAAGTTGGAAAATCTGAATCAACTAGTGAATAAGAATTCGCGCGTCTACTTGCAATTGACCACAGTAACAGAAAATGCAGTAGTTTAGAAGTTGCCCCATTTGTCTTTTGATCATGATGTAAAACGTGGTTGTTCTTAAGGAACAGAGAAGCACAACACGAGGTGTATATACATATATAATGCCATAGTGCAACAAACAGTCACAAACAAACAAATTAAACAGGATTACGGCAACTTACCAACAAGTCTGTTGAATAGTCCAAAGAGGGGGTCGAGGCAAAGTCGAGATATCGGTAGGAAGCGACGGGTAGACGGGTAGACGTCTAGCAGAAAAAAAAGGTTGTCGAGGCGTATGAAACGTTATATAAAGTGTAATTAAAAGTAATGAAATAGTTAAGGGGGTAGGGAAGAAGCGAGTATTCTTTATTAATATTAATATTCTAAGTCTTTTGTATTTCTATCGAGTGTGTGTTTTTTGCGACAAAGAAATGGGGGGAAAGGTCTCTACAGCCGTATATATAGTAGCTGTTTGGCTGATGCGAAAAGTGATGATTTTTAAATTAAGATTCATAATCCGATAAGCAGGATCGTGAGTAATCAAAAAGTCAGATGGGCCCGTCGTTTTACAAGCCAGAATTTGCTTTTCAATACTTCTTGATCGTCAACCACTTTACCAAATGAGATGAGACCCCGTAACAAAACTAAATTGATGGATGTATTAACGTATGTAAATAATATACAAATAACACATCGCATTACTCCATTAAGGATTATATTAATTAATTGTTTACATTGCAAATGATGTTATGCTGATGTGATAGTTATGTGGGTGTTTGGTTTGGCTTGCTTGGCTTGCTTTGTGCTGTGCCATATACAATATACATAACATATACCAGTACGTAAAGCGAGGGAGGCCAACATTGTTTGATATTTATATCATTGATCCTACACATTAAGAGATATAGTTATCCAGTACATCCATCCAATCCATCCAATCCATCCATCCAATCCATCCAATCCATCCATCCAATACACGCACAACATGCTGTATTCGTATCCAATTATCACAAGACCCGCAAAGGCATCTCTTCTCAGATGTGTGTAAACATTACTAAAAATATACAACTGAGGGCTGATACAATTATTTAACAAGCCCAATGCTTAATTAAGAATGCGTCAACTAAATAAGGAATGCATCAGCTAAAGTTTAAACACAGCCATATATGTCATTGTCCTTTCCGCCAATGATAGCGAGGATGGAAGGGAGGAATTGGGAAGGAGGGAGGGGAATGGGGAAGTATATTACGAAAGTGTAATGTCATGATGCAATGACATGTAATAGAATTGTTGCAGATCTCGACCACACGACAATGTCTCTCAGTTCGTAATAAATAAATCAAACATCGTATCAATCGAAATCTGACAGTAAATTCAAAGATTAGTGACATTAGGGGGGAGGGGGGGCAGACAACTAACACATACTGATCTACGCATGAATGGGTAGCACAACGTCGACGTTTCCGGTAATTTGGCTTTTAAGAACTAATATTTTATAACAATTAGCAGGTGTCCATTGAGCCAGCAGTACATAAATATTTATATTCTATACGTGCTTAATTATTTATTTATTGGTTTGTTTGTTTATTATATATTATTATATTCTGTTTTATTATTTATTATTTATTGACTGTGGTACACATCACTTGTACATTTGGATATATCCGTAATTCTCACATCCAGTACACGCACTCGTGGGTAATCGGCTAAACGATGGACATCTGACTCTATGCGCATTAGCATCTAAATTCCAATTAATTATATTACGATTATCTGGTATCATTATATTATAATTGCTCGCACCATACTAACACACACACTTGCACGCTTGGAAACTTGCGCACACACAAGCACACACAAGCACACACAAGCACACGTATACGCATGTATACACATGGACACACACCCCCGCACTTTTCTTATTGCACTTGCTTGCACATCCGTACATGCATGTATATACCCAGGGCTCTTTGTTTTTACCATTAAACATCCATCTGTTTATCTCCTGTTTATCGCAATAAACAATACGTAGTTGTGTCTTGGCATCCATCCATCCATCCGAATCTGTCTTTATCTCCCGCCCTTGTAAGCAAGCCTTGTAAGCAAGCCTTGTAAATACACTATCAATTTTCCCCTTAAACTGCAATCCAGCATATCATCTCCCGCCTTGTAAGCCCTTAAACTGTAATCCAACATATCATTATCACTTGATTTTTTTCAATTTAGTTACGCGTCGTATTCCATGTTCTAGCCTGTTTGAGGTGAAAGAAGGCGCTCTGTTCCATATGATTATCTAATTAATCGATATCTTCTAAATAGAGAAAGGTTGCGATAACCATGAGAGAATGCTTGTGCTATAGAGAACAATAACATAATTCAGAACATCGGAAAAGAACGTCACAAGGTTAGTATATATTAAGCATAAGAATGACAGGTAATGAATGGATATATATGTAACCCGGTTTAACTATGCTGTGAAATGGGGTTGATTTGATTGAATGGGAAAAGGCATACTTTAATTCAAAGGAAACTTTATTATGTAATTCATTTATTATTAATGGTTTTAAAAAAAGGTGCTTACTGCATTAGTAAAAGTCTATCGGAGGAGATGCTCTTTGTTGTCAACTTGTTGTGCGCTACTCATATTATAATTCCATAAACCACTTCTTTACGCCTTTCCTTTTCGGTATTCTGCGGCAAATCGACCTTGATGATCCACAGTAAAATGCACAATCGCAAATCTTTTTGTAGATTCAAGAATCATGAAACACAAGGATCTATCGTGCTGTTTAAAATAAATTGCTCGTCGCGCGTATTTTCTATTTATGAAATTGTGACACTATCAAATTCTTACTCGCCGTCTGTACGGAACTTGCATAGCAGTCAAAAATGTGTAAAACAGTCGATCTGTATCTCCGCATGAACTGGGGGTATGAGCATAATATATTATATGAGCACAGGAAAGAATGGGAAAGGCTTTTGATAATTAAACATACTGTAGATGAAACAGCACGAGCGATAAAGGCAACTTTGATTAATTAATGTCGATATCATATCATACTATACTTTATACGACTTGCTTGCGTCTTCTGATTCATTTTCTGCGTTCTTTCCCTTGCTGTTCGACTTTCTGGTGATGGGGACATTATCTTGTGACGTAATCATTATCAAATCTGCCAATCTGGGACGCGTAAGAGGGATAAGAATAGTAACATGTACGTAAACATACAATAGCATGTCCAAATCGATAATTACTTTTGACTCTAATAATAGAAGCTTTACTATAATTCCATTATTATTTATAGTTATTAATTAATTAATCTTCATATCGAATCTATTGGTTACATAAGCAATATATCTCACTCGCATATTACTCGTACATTATTTATGCATATATGTAATATATTATTTGTTCTAACAATCCGAATATATTAAACTTAATACAGTTTCCCTACTACCCCATATTTGGTTACACAAGTTAAAAAACAAGGTTTAGAGATGATATACACTGAACACTAGTTCATATAACTACTTTTTTCTCTCATTATATTTCCTAGTTGAGCCCAATGCGATAATTTTTATCCAGTCGATTAATGAACAATGTAACATACGAGACTTGACAGAAGATTCTATATCCGATGAAAGTCGACGTTTGTTAATACAAGCATGGTAGTTACAATGACCCGAAGCAGATAAAACTAATCGACGACCTTGTGGTTTGCATCACATTCCCAATTTACCCCAATTTACCCTGCCTGCTACCCTAACCCTAACCCTAACCCTAACCTTACTACTAACCCTTCTACCTTATCCCCCTTACTACTACCCTATCCCTTACTACCTTATCCCCCTTACTACTACCCTATCCCTTACTACTACCCTATCCCTTTACTACTATACTACCCTGCTACCCTATTCTACCCCATCATACGAACTTGTTCGTTCCAAGTTTATTCAGCTAGGAAAGTACCAATTTATCTTGCTCTTGCTACAAAATTCCTTATTCGTACATCCTACATCGGAAATTGGTTTGATGATTCTTCTCCGTTTTCGTCAACGTTCGTCCGATTCGTGTAGATTTATTGTAGTCCATTGCGTATTTACGTATTACAAATAAGCGATTCGTCCATTCATGATTCGACTTGGAATTTCCTTGTCTAACTTTTCGTCGGGCCATTCATTGCATGCTCATTATCTAATGCAATTACCAACTTTAACTTATTCTCTGTCCAATTGGCATCAATCCAACTGTTACTCAATAATATACCGGGGAATTCTTCCGTTATGAAGACGTCATAGATGTGGGTTATTAATTAGGTGCTACTTCGGAGTAAGAAGGTTATGTGTGATATATAACAACTGCTACAACAACAACAACAACAAACAGCAGCAGCAGCAACAACAGCAGCAACAGCAACAACAACAACAGCTACCGTTTGGGTTTGGCAATGACGGAAATAATAGGCAATAATGGGCAAATACATGATACATTAATACTCCTATCCATAACGGATATTACCATATATATCATGGAGAGAGTAATTATTCGGGTTTTGGCAGGATTTGGCCTCTTTTATGTGACTTGGTAAATCGACTGCAGGGTTTCAATTGTGGACATCTTGTGCGCGGATATCCATGCCCATATTGCAGTGGTTGTTGAACTTTAATCTATTCTCGCTTAATTTATTAAAAGACAATGCTGAATGGGATGACATAATATACGCCTATGAATGAGAATCGAACATATCATACTTTTACGACGATTAACATTTTGTGTCCATTGTTTTACAGTTGCGATCTTCAAGCCTTGCAATTTACCAATCTTGCGTTTTATTCGTCGTCTGCATATTATTAAATTTTACCTAACTATTAACAGGGGATGTATTGCTATCATTGTTACGTCCCTTTCTTTTTTTGCAAGTGACATTTCATTTCCTGTAACCCATGCTGTCAGCTGACAATGGATGCTATGAATAAGGTTGTAATCGGCAACCATTTTATAACCGTCCCATTCTCATCCCATCCCATCTTCCCCCGAAAATAGTGAAAGTTGTTGCAATAAACAATAACAAATGAACAGGCCACCGATGCGATGTATAAACAGTTACTATATATGTTAAAATAAATAAACAGAATATACTATTTACTATACTAAGAATGACTTGTGATTATTTTGACCGTGCATAAGCCGAGGTGATTCATCCCCACGAACCCCACCACAACTGCATAATTATGAACCTTCATATAATAAATGCCGCATGATGTTTATCCGTAATATAATTAAACTTTTTTTTGATATAATTATACCGAACCCGAACAGTATTCTAATGAATGCTTATACCAGACCAATTATACACGTTTATTCTTTCAATGAAAGAGTGTGCGATTAGAGTAAAGCCTATAGAACATTCTATAGTCATGTTGCGGGTATTATACGACCGACGCTTATCTTCTTATCTAGGGACAATAACTGACACATGCTATTGATATTTCTCCCCCCCCCTTCACTTTGCTTTTTGTGAGAAATTGCGAGTTCGGGGCCCATTTGAATTTATATGCAAGATAATCGTACTTGATAATCGCACAGTTGCGAAAGAGGGGAGAAGGAAGATGGAGGAAAAGGGTGTGCGGTGGCTCAACAATAAAGTTCAGTCAAATACGACAATTTAAGCGTCTGGCATTTGAATGTACAGCTAAAAAACTTTATCACTATAATAAAGTCATTGTTGCTATGCATACTTCTGATTAAATAAGCATTACAGTAATAGTGGGTATATGCACAGCGTCGTTCTATAAATGTCTTTGGAAAAAAAGCTTAGTAATGTTGCTAATTGATTAATGTTTGTTTAATATGCTCATTTTGTTGCATTTATTAGGTTAGAGGAGAGAGCCTCAACACAGCGGATAATAACAATGCCCGTCCTAAAACTTGATACTATTTGTTATTTTTTACCTCGAGACCCGAACGTTTTGAATTTGAAAAAAAAAAAAAAATAAATCAACCAAATTAATAATCATTGGATTACATAAACAAAGTCAGTTGATCATTTACCCCACAATACGCCACAAAAATTGTGAGAATCGTTTTTATTGTCATTACGGCTTTGAGGCAAGTTTTTTTTTGTGCGATACACGACAAATAAATATATAACAATAATCGACCTGATTACGAAATTTCGGGGCATACATATTGTTTATTCTATGGCTGATTTGTTATTTTCACAAGTGGGAATGCAAAATTAGGGGTTGGACAACGTATTGTCATAAAAAGTTTTTCAGACTGCATATGGCAATTATAAGTACCAAGGGAATTCGGTTTATCTAACGCCTTTGATTCTAGTAATTGTATTCGCAACTATTACTATACAGTCTCTATCATTGGAGAATTGACAACTTGGTGTGTTGCCATCCATCCATTCTTCCTACACGTTAGCCACCTAGTTACATGTATACAAATATTTTTATTTGTCCCTTTTGTAATTGCCCTATTGAACTTGCAAAATCACAGTTGTCATCGAATATATCTCCCATTGTTAATTTATGTACAATTGGAAAGGCAGTGATATTATGTGGCAAGTACCCAAGTATTTTACTGAAATTTCGATACTTATTTTACAGCTTTTGATATGCACATCTATTGGCACACTTTCTAGCAGCCGATGGCAGAGGAAAAGGATAAAAGGTTCATTTGTATACGTGTATACGCATTTATGTATTATTGGTCTCCCAAAAGAGAACCAATCTGAGCGACCGAAACGTGCCAACAAGGAAATCTTTTAGCAGTTGATGATACAATTGCAGTTTGACTGAACAATCCACATTTTTTACGTTCATAGTTGTTATTAATTGGGCGATAGAAATTCAACGAGACATAAAGTTAAATTACCCGTCACCATAATGAATTCAAAAAAGTATTTCAAATGGTAACTTGGTATACAATCCGTGTTCAACATGGGCGCCATAAAGGTTTTGAATAAACCCTTTTAACACGGAATATCATCAGAATGGAACATAGTAAAATTGAAATGACACACAGGATTCTACAATATGCAGGTGCTGTCAAGAAGTGAAAACTTTATTGTGAAAATAATGCCTAGGTAATAAAACCAGCACAAGTCTCACTTTCCTTGTCAATTACCTGTACCTGTCATTTGGTTTCTTTAGGAGATGAGAGCACCTTGACATTATTTCCTTGAAAATTAACGAGGAAACTTTTGTTTTATGACAAGGAAACATTTGTTTTATGGCAAGGGAGTACATTCATTATAAAAGGAAGTGAGGCTATAAAATTTTTCCGGAGATGAGAAATAGGCTGCATCTATCTCACCCGAATAATTTAACTCTGTTGGCGCAAATTGTAATGTGAAAACAGATCAGAAATCTATATAAACATTTTTAATAAACCAGTCGAGTAATTGCCTCTTTCTTAACTAATTTCTGGGGAAAAGCTCGTTTTATCTCGCGAGCTACAATCTTCTTTTTTCGTCTACTATTATCGAATTATGTTTTGAATTGCAAAGGATTTATCATGGAGGCCGCAATAATACTTCATAGATAATTGTGTTTAGACTTTTTATTCGGATATAGCAATAGTTTTTGTTAATTTACAAATATTTATAGTTTTCTGGACTGTTTACATTGTACTTTATAAGATACTAGTTATGATTAGATCTGGGATTATGTCTTTTATGAGCAAGCGTCACTCAGGTCAGAACGACAGATATTCAATGATATAAAATTTTTGACGGTATTTCCCGAATACGTTGTTCACACCATAATGGGTTTTTTGATGCATACATCTTCGACTTTGCATTTCGTGCGTGTGAAATTTTTCATGGCCATAACGAGTCACCTTTTTTATAGGAGCGGGTTAAAAAATGAAATTTTCAGTAAAAATCATGAAGCGTTAACGAGTTGGGCTGTTGGACTGCGTCGATGAAATTATTACTAGACGATTTTCGTAATCCGTCCTTGTCGTTTTTTCCAAGATACTTTTTGATTTACGTCATCGACATTGATTACACAAATCAGCTTTTTTTTTTCGGATTGACAATGTAGCGAGTAATCCAAGTCGTACGACGTTTGTATGCATGCAAGCAGAAACTGTGAGATTTTCGTATCAATGGTCGGGGAATACCATTTTTTTTCAATGGTATATTGTCATACAAATAATAGATATTGTAATGAGAACGTTTTTGACTTTGGCTTTTTCATTATAATAATTGCTGGAGAAGTGATTAATTGGTCAATATATTAATGGTGTTAATAAATGAGAAGAACAAGTGTGACAAATGTATTGTATGCATACCATAAAAACATGCAGGAAGGTACATATCATTTGCATTAATATATAGTTTTGCTAAATTATGTGTCATTTAATAGTTACCGGTTTTGTCTCACGGCGACGGCGCAGCCCATTTCACTACTTGCTCATGAAATCTCCCCCTTATTCAGAAGTGTGAACAAGCCTTTACTTTTTCAGTTCGACTCAAGAACTATCATTGACATTACAGGGCTTGATAAACTGGATAGGTTTCGAGGGGAAAAAAAACGTCGATCACAGCGTTGGAAAAAAAAAAAAAAAAGGATGAAAAAAAAAAAAAAGGATGACATCACAAAGACGAATCCCCCAAACTTTAAATTTTCGGCAGACACCGCGAATGTGAACATGCATCGCTTAGTGGCACATTTATTACATGGCTAAGCACAATATATCTTAATTATCTGTAGTTAGGTATAAGTCTAACATAAAAACGAACCTCGAAGAAAATGTCTCAACCATATACATGAACATTCAATCTGTTGTCAGAATTTTTTCATCAACTTGGGTGTTTTTTTTTTCCACAGCGTTTAGATAATGAGTAACCGTGAGCAATTAATTAAAGTATGCAAATAAGTAGTTGTAGGAAAATCATATGGGTCCATTGCCGAGTCAGTTCAAATCATGTTGGTCAAGTCTTAAATGTTGCAGATTACTAAACCTTATTAAAAATTCTACATGTGCGAGTTTACGTATCTCGTGATTAATGCCTTCTGTACAATCAAGGTTTTTGGCTGTCATACGAAGACTGTTTGCAATAGACAGCACATGACGTCGTGAACACATGAAGATCAGCTATCGATATGCCGAATTCCAATGATAATCGTATGCTTGCGTCGTCGTCACCAAGAACTTATCAATGCATTTATATATCATGTATCAAAAAATTTTACAAAACGGACAGGGGGCGAGCTCACCAAACCATAATCCATCCGAGCCAATCAGAATGTTGTTAAATGACACTACATAAGCAGCATTCCGTAAACGTATCAGTACAAGTTACAAAAAAGGTGCTTGCAATCGTTATTATTTTCGAACGTTTTATCAAGACAGGGACTATCAGGTTTTCCCACATGGAAGCACAAATAACAACGAGAATCTAAAAGTAATGGAGACTATATGAGAACATGAGGCGTGCTGGAAATTAAGTCCAGGACAACTATTAAACGTTTCTGATGTCGTAACTTATTTCCAAGCTTTCCATCTTCTCCTGGCTTTCCATTGTATAATTGGTTTGAGAATACGTTCTTCTTCCTTGCTAAAAGGTTTATGCTACAAAAACAAAGTTTAAAATATAAAAACTTTGATCTCATTGGCTGTTCATGGTTCTTGGCTGTTTGTGATTCTTACACAAGTTCTAAAAAGGTTATATTGATATTGTTGGAATTCAATAAATTTATAATGGTATTTATTATATCGTTACAACTGTAGTTGATGTATATTTGTTGGACTTTATTATATGCGTGTAACCCTCTTTTAATTTCTTAAATATATATATTTTACAAGTGTGTAATTTCAACCATATTTCTGTATTCCGAATTATTTATTTATATCTATGTTATCTTGAAGCACACAATAATATTCCTAAATTATATTTTAACTTTAATTTTAATTTTGTTTCTTTAATTTGCGATTAATAATATGCTACCAATCCATCTTCAAGAAAACAAGTTGGGCGAATTAGAATACAGTAAAGCTAGTATTAATGTTTAATGTAAAAAAAAATTTTTTTAATATAAACAATTCTCATTATCATCGACTGCCATGTGAAAATTTACTTTATTCAACCAATTGTGGCAAAGCACATTAAATATTTAACTAATGGTTTAATATTAATTAAAAGTTTTGTGTTAATATTTAGCTGAACGTGTGAAACTAGCAAGGTGAGATTTTTAAGGAAAATCTATTGAGAATAGTCAGATTATATTCAACCGTTTGAAAGATGACAATTTAAAATACTGTTTTTGGCAAATTGAACAATTACGGAAAGAAAATTTTTTTAAAGATCTTGTAATCGTAATTGATAAAAGGATAAGAAACTTAGAGATTAAATATGTATTACAAAAAAAAATAGTTTAAACGATATTAGAGAATTAATAGCAATACAATGACCCAGTAAAAGTGGATTTTTTTTTACAACTTGATTCACTACACCTATTTTAATATCATTTGAGCATGCAACAACAACCCAGACAAAGTGAAAATAATACCAAACTATTTACATGTGCCAAAATTGCTGGATGCCAACTGGCATTATCAGTCATCCAATTTACTCACTGTCACCAATCCCATATATTATATTAGTATTTGAGTTAAATTATTTGTTCTAAGCAGCCTTTACAAGTCATTATGTTTGACATTACTGATATTAGTTTGGCACAATATATGTTCAGAACCTCCAAAACCAAGTTCACATTAATTTTACCATCTGCATATTAGTGGTAGATTTTTAGTATTTTAAAAATTATTATTATAAAGTCAAAGTCAGGTTACTGTTAGATAATACTCGCACTTTTTATGGAGGTACCCTTATTGTTGTAATAGTGATAGCAATTTATGGTAGGTAAAAGTTATGTTTACTCTTGTAATTTCATCTTCTCTTAAATTTTGAGGCAGCAAAAAGATTATTGAATCTTTTAAATTTTTTAGTCAAAGAAGTAAAGTGTAACTTAGCCTTAACCAAATGTTTTTCAGTAAAGCTTTGCTTCTTCTTCCTTACAAGCATTATACTGTGAACCACTCCAACATATCACATAAATCCATTCTTGGATTCATCATTTGGAAACAAGGCATTAATTGGTGTCATGCATCATATTTAACAATTTCTAACATACTATTGTCTTCAAGCCCTGCGATAAAATCATGATAGACTGATTTACTATTACTGTATAACTCAATTCTGCTGGTAAAAACACAAGTGATTGAGTAATGCATTGGCATTTCTACCAGGACTTGGTAATCTATGATTCCAGCATAAAATTTTTCATGCTTGTAGCAACATTTTTATCAATGGTTATTTTAGTTTTCCATCACGGCACTTTTTATATTATTGTGAACACGCGATATTATATCATTCATTGCCAGATGATTTCTGACGTTTTCCCAATGAGTATGGCCAATCCCTAACATTCTGAGATAAACTTTCTGGCAAAGAGGTGTACAGAATTTTTAGTAGAAAAACGTCCTCTTATTAATACGCGTTTTTTTCTAAGACGTTAACTGATATTTGCCTTAAGTTGCAATATATCTTGTTCAGATCTAGAGAGAACTTGAAATGCCTCATGTAATTCAGCTAACTTTTCTCTCGGCATCATTTTTGAACAACCATAATTACACCCATTTCTAAAAAATTTATTGCTTTCCCATACTGTTATACAGCGAATCTAATATTATTATTTAAATAGCGATTTACGCAATATATTTTAGAATAGCTATTCCGCAGTAGCAATCTAGATGAAATTCGAGTAGGTTCTGCACCTTTTCCTGTATAGAATTTGGTCGAAGGCGCCAACGGAATAATGGAATAACTTTTACTGTGGAATAATACCTGAGGATCGAATAAATACTATTAATAAACTTACGATTGGAAATATTCAATTGGCGCCATTATGATTTCTAATGTGGACATCCAGCCTCCTTTATATATTATGATTCTTTTGAAACTTTACCATCAGTGTTGACCAGCTGTAGACAGCTGGAGAAGTGCTGCAGCAGTGCTGATGGTTTGGATACTAATTTACAAAAAGTTAGTAAAGTCAAAAAGTACCTGCTTGACATTAGTGTACCTGTGATAAATTCAGCTTTACAAGTGAGATTTTCCCGCATGTTGTATCGATTCTCTTTGGTTCTCAACCAATGATATTAATGAAACAGATCCCTTTGACTTAACTATTGGCACATGCATTGCAATATTGATCCTGCCACTGTTGTTTATGCACTAGTTAAAAACAAAGCTGGTCTGTCAGAAGTAGCTTATCAGTCAGCAATTTTCTGTGTCTACTCCCCAGACCCACTGTGAGGTAAAAGTCGAAGCTGTGATTTGGCAGTGACCCAGGCCATGCACTACTATGAGTTCAAAGTTAACAAAAAATAATTAATATTAAGGCTGACTTTATGACAAAGACAGTCTATTGACCAAGCCTCCAAATATGTGCATCTTGTAATTGTTCTGACTGATTACATTTTTAAAGATGTGAAAAATGGCTTTGGCAACAATCAAAATCTGCTTTAGCGTCTCGTTTAGCTAAATTAATGTCATCTTGTAATTCGTCACATTTTGTAAGCCTGTCGCCGTCCTTTGTTCTACTAATATCGAGCATTGACATAACGTATATACGGATTAACTCTTTTGTAAGGCAGGTACATTTTTTTGGTTGGCTTGAGACTTTCATTACAGCGTTACACTATCTGGTAAATATTTAATATGCTTTCGGGACTTAAAAGACCATGATTACATGAAGAGCCATGGGTACGTGACTTCACAATACAACCGAAATTTCACTGATAGATTATGAAGAAGATTTTTTACTTGACCCCTTTATTTCCCTTTTTGGTCATTCCTCGAGACCATAGATAGAACTTCCTAACCATTAATTTGCCAGTGCCTGGTGCAATAATGGGTTTATTAGCCAAAAATATAAAATTTATTTTCGTTAATTATTACTATTAAATGCAGAGATATTGGCGGATAAAGCTCCTCACTGCCTATGATTTGCGTTAACTCATAAATATTGTTTCCGTATACGCTCTATAAATTAAAATATACAGTAAATTATAAACACTTTTGATAGTTGAAAACACATCAATTAGCTTTACCGATGTTCAATTATATCGTATTTGTTCTGTTTAACGATATCTTGCCATTCATTTGAGTCTTTGTTTGTCTGCCAAATGTCAAACCCAAAAATCAATCTTTCTCCTGTTATGCATTAAAATTGATAAGACTTACAACAAATGTATTATTGTATAGGTGCTGTCTCTGTCGCTAAAACAACGTCAATATTAGATAATTTCTAATTTAAGGAGGCAGGGATATTAAATGCTTACACGATTGTAGCCCATAAATTCATCTAATGCGTCCTCCAAATTGCTCGAATATATGGTCTTTAATGCAAGCTCTATACTTTGTTTGTATTCGTCGCTCGCATTTTTAAGATCGGCGGCTTGTGAAAAGCGAGCCATGCTGCGAACTTGATTTTCGCGCATTGTCATTGCAAATTGCGTTTCGCGTACTGGACACGAACCCAATGTATTCTTACAGGTAGATTAGTCATGCCACAAAAAAGTGGCAATTCCGTGACTTCCGAATGAGAGGCTTTCTGGAATCGACACATATGGAAATATTCCTCAAATTCTGGGAGTATTATCTTTATTTAGGAACCTAACCTCTTGTTGATTGCACGTAACTGATTAACAAAATTTTATTTAATTATAATAAATGTTCATCAAGTCGTTGATTTTAACGATCTAGTGCATTAATATGTTTTAATAATCCTCTTGCTGTTGCAGAAAGGAACGAACAACCTCCAAACTGTTCGCAGCATCGCTGCAATTTACAATCGGTAATTCAACACTATCATTATCATCAGCCTCGCTACCATCAACAACATGCACACCTGACAGTTCTCTGTATATTTCAACAAGGTCTTCGATAAATTTGTCCTTCGTAAACTCTGTCTTCTTCTGGATTATTCAAGAATTCGTTAAGACTCGTGCTATCATAATCAGTTAAGATCTGTAACCATTTGTGCAAGCTCACTAAGTGTTGGTAAGCTGGGAACAAAGAGAGAATTGTTAATCTAGATTTATTTATGTATATTATACCAATAACAAGCTTTTTGCCTAGACATAAAGCTCAAGGCCATTTTTGTGTGTTTCGTTTTATCTGTAGGCTTCGGATAAAGACTTATAATAGGCTCGGGTGTATTATCCTTTGCGCAAAATATGGCCCTATTCAACTATCCTATTTACAACGAACAAAATATGTGGTCGAGATTGGTGAATGTTCTACAGAGTGGCTGATAAACACTCTGGAGGGAGTGAATGGGATGATTTGTCATTAAAAATGAGGTGAGTGAAGGCGAATGGATGGAATCGATCACAGAAGAGATTTTACTAACCGTGGCAATGTAATTGTTAAGTTGGATAACAGCCGGTATGTTAAATAGCGGCCTTATTGCAATAAAATTTGCGTATTGTTCTAATCAGAGTGGAATAGATTCGATGATGGTTTGGTAGGTGGATATATGACTGTTTTAGTTTGTTTGGAGACAGTTTGTCGATGAAATATTCCACTTCTTTAGTTATGGTTCACAGCAATAAGCTGCATCAATGCGCTTGCTCTATTTATGGCGAGGAAGACATATCGAATGTTCACCACGACAAACGCGTGAGTACCAAGCTTTATATCATACGATACTCATTCCTCGATAGCTGATCTAACATCATCTCAGTCTCGTCCAGCATCCCAAAGCGTTCGACTCGTCGACAAGAATCAAGTAGACCCAGAATGGGCTTACTCTGGACTAGGAGCTTGTCTGTTTTCTTTACGATTGACCTGATTTAAAAAACAAAATACAGAACATTGGTCATGCAATACGTTTTTAAATCAGTGCATAAACAAAACGAGGATCTCGTATGGGAATTAAGCATGTGGAATCCGTCCTGAACCTATTTATGTAATTAAATGCTAATAATTCTTTGAATAGTCATGAGATTGAGATAACCCACCCATTTGACCCATATTATATCAGATTCTTCTCTCCAGTGCAAGCTCTTGTTCTCCACGGGATGGAACAAAGATAATTATCATTACTATTTGGTGGTGGCGGCAGTAGTCTGTATGCAGGTAATGATACCCTCCAGGCAGATACGGTTGACTCTCACGGCAATATACTGATTTACTATACACTTTGCTCCTACCAATTTTTTGTCTCTGCAGGTGTACGTCTTGATTAACACGTATATTAACCATCTTCAAGACAAACATACGGTTTTTGAGGAAGTTCACACGAATACAAGGACAATCAAACGTCATATATCACGTCGATGTCAGACCGAGGATACAAGTACAGGTTTAATATTAGGAGACTCCAGCATACAGACTAGGTGGCCTATGAGACCTATGGCCGGTTAATGAAATAACTCAAACCCCTCACGGCAAATTTAGCAAATAATAATAACAACTGCCGTCTCCGTTAAGAACGCCATTCATTTACGATAATGGTTTCCAAGCATCAAACATGTACTAAATAAATAAGGTAACGCTTTTTATATATCATTCGATCATTTGTTATTACTTGTCAAAATTTTAATTCTTTGTTCCCTTATTGTTATAGCTTCTGCCAACTCAATCCATTATGTGACAGGTCTGCGCCAATACTGCTCGCAACATATATGTATTCAGGAGGGTTTTATGTATTACAATGATATTTATTAATAAATTTTACAGCCAAGAAACTTTATGTGCAATCTTAGTCCTTTGATTGATTTAAGTCCCAACCAACTCAATTGTCAAATCAATGCTCTAGTCTAATTCACAAGAGACATAAAATTTCCAAAGAATCTTTAAATTTGATAAAAAGTATACATTAATATTAATATAGGGTTATATATGAATAATAGTAAAGATGGTATGCAAATGAAAGTAGCTTTGTTGAAGGGCTTAGTTACTAGTCTCCTCAAGGAGTGCATCATTATAATTAGTGAAAATATACTAGAATTCATCAAAAAGAATAAAAAAATGATTTGTCAAGTCAGAAATAACTCAGATCTTGACATTTTTTGACAAAAGACAGTGTCTGATAAATATAAGATAAACCCTGTTGACATTGTATCCAGAAGCACATGATTCTCTCCTTGCAGTGAGAGTTTGACAGCAAAGGGAGCTCTTTCCACGTTGATATGGTCCATGGAAGATATATAATAGAGCCGTCATCAAATTTTCTTTTCTTAGTTGGCACATCTGCACATGAAAATAGTGTAAATAGTTAGAATTATGGACGGGTGGAGAATTGTATTACTCTATGTCCCCAATGCCTGAGTCACAAATCGTTACCTGCGAGATAATATCTGAGGACAGAGCGTTAGCATACTTTCTCCCCTTCGAAATAAAGGTATCTGCAAAGATGACCTTTAATTTGACTGCAGTCTATCCTTCACCGGGTCATCCATTGTTTCCTTGAATAACACGCTGTTATTTGTTCGGCCAATACTTTGGCTGCATTGAACAGGAGGCCTATTGCTGTCAATGACGTTTGAATAGGAGGCCTATTGCTGTCAATGACGTTTGAATAGGAGGCCTATTGCTGTCAATGACGAGTTTGAACAAGAGGCCTATTGCCTATTGCCGTCAATGACGTTTTAATAGGAGGCCGATTGCTGTTAATGACGATTGAACAGGAGGCCTATTGCTGTCAATGATGAGTTTGAACAAGAGGCCTATTGCCGTCAATGACGTTTAAATAAGAGGCGACGTCCTGCACCTTTCCTAACACAATGTCCCACTCATTCGTTTTTTTTCCTAACGTTATCGCCGTCAACGTTTGAATAAGAGGCCTATTGCCGTCAATGATGGGTCTTGAACCATATTTGAAAAGAGTGATAAGATAATAGGCGAAAAAGGTGCGTTAAAGCAGTTTATGTGATGGAGTTTTGCGTTCCTTTATTAGTTACATCTACGACTGAACGCTAAAGGTGTATACAGTTTACGTGGTGGGGTCTGTAGAGAAATGCAACACGAGGTTCGGGTCAAAATTTTATCCCCAGGCGCCTAGTGTTGTGTTACGTTAAAACGCGTCGTCGAAATTTCACTTCTTCGTGTTTTGAGTTAGTAAAATTTGACTTTTTAGACGCACAGTGCTCGTCAGCTTACAAGAATTTCTCACAAGCTAAGAGTTTCTTTGAACAATAGCATAGCGTAATTATGTCAGGTAGAGACAATGATCAGATAGTAACAAAGTATGTTTACCAAACTAACGTATGAACAACACTCATAGTGTTAAGATGCCCTGTTCTTTAGATCACGTCGCGTCGTGCTTGGTACAGCGGTATTATTATTATAGCGTATCAGAGAGGCAGCTATGGCGACGACAAGTAGGTCGATTAATGGACAGACAACCCATAATCAATTATCTCTGATTCGTTTGTTTGGCTCTCTACCCCTTGACCTAAATTCGTCAAATTGACATAATCGTAGTCAGGCAATCCAGCAATAATTTATATCCTGGAAGTCGAAGATGGATGGAAGAAGTAGGAAAGGCAGAAACCAAGATGGGATACTGTGGATCGCATTGTTTTCTACTTCCAAATAATATAAGATCCGATATTTAAATACAACTTGTATTTTCGTGGAGTTGATGTAATTGTAATATTCGAAAGTTTGTTAGTCATATGGTTAAAGACATGTTACTGAAACGATCATGGTAATCGACAACTACGTAATCACTGCAATTGCATTGCCCGAGCAATATATAGGAGCGAGACGTAAACAAACGTATGTCTTTCATTGCTGATCTAATCCATTGTACCGCTCCTATATTGTATCCACTAACACATTGTTCTTCTTAGACCGTAGTATTGGCTACCACATCTTTACGCTGAAATAAGCAGGTTTGCTTAGCGGTTTCTCGTTGGGTTGTTGCTCCGTTACAATCCTATATAGCGGAATGACAGCAAAGGGATCTCACAGTTCTGATTAAAACACTGAAAGTTCGTCGTTTGGGATCTGATGTACTTCAATCACTATTGCGTTAGTGAACGAGATTGGATATTAATGTTCAGCTGATTGTTCAACGTATGTGAAATACGCATTACATTCTCGAAGAAAGGTTGATGACGCCCAGAGAACCTTCCAAAGTCAAGTCATGGACAACGTGTATTCTGTTTTTAACCTGGTCCTAATTTGGCTACTAAGGACTCAGTAGATAGTAATGAAAGAATTTCAGCGATGTCTTAAGCACTACCGATACATACTAGATTGGGAGTACACATTATTGGCTCGACCTTGCTTTTCCAGATTTTTCGCAGCCAATATCACATGCGGGTTTGGAAACTATATATGCATATTTTATTATTAAACTCTGGCTAAAAGTTCAATCCACTGATGGCGAAGTATGATCTGAAGTTGTCCGTGAAAATTGATGCTTACGATTTTTGGGCATAAATTACACGTGATTGTTGATGTACCTGAGCCAAATTTCTGTAGAAACTAATTTGGGATACATGCCCGCGGGTTATGATAACCATTTTATGTATATGGCTAGATTCTTATTGCATGCATGAGCTTTAATGGAAATAGTCGACTCGCAAAACCTTTCCTGTTATGTTTACAATACAGCTCTTTATTGGAGCAGAATAGGCCCGCGCATTACGATGACTGCATTTATGGGATTGCCTCAGTAGAAAGCGAAAATTATATTCGAAAATGCCAAAGCGGGTAGGAATGCTGATCAGGCTACTTACATGATTGTTGGCGGGAATAAGTTGTGGATTCTGTTTATCGAGAACTTTCAAAAGATAACAAGTCGGAATCGTTAAATATGACGCGTTTCGTATTATGACATCAACGTTCACAAGAACAAGTGTATGGGATAAATGTCAACTGAATAGTCTTTACTTGATTAAGCTAGAGGAGAATATCTGCCAAAGCTAAATAAGCAGAATACAGGATCTAGATTGCAAAAGCGTAAGTTAATAGCCACAATAGTAACATTTATGACATAACGTGTTGTAGTTACGATTTAAGCGCAGCGTCTATGTTCCTCTTCTGATCAAGCAATAATACTATTGTCTATACGTGCAGTATATTCACAAGCCGTATCTAAATAATTTTGGACAATTCATTCAACGAAAGAGTGAGAGTCGCCGAACCCTAATCTTTTTAATATTACTCATCGACCTCATATGATCTCCAATCATTTATACAGTTCTAAAATTTTTCTGTCATTTAAAAATGATGGGACGATTTTTGCAACTGCAATATTACGCTGCATATTTCATTCCTGCTCGCAATGACGCATCACTATTACTATTCTATTTCTTTTTATGCGATCTCTTGCTCTTTCTATTCCGTGCTGATGTCACTTCAACGTAATCTTCTTCGCCAGTTACAGCCCCAGGTCCATCTCCATTATCGGAAGGTTTCAGTTTAGCGTCTTCTTCACTTGAACTCTCGGTCTTCGCTACTGGACTGGGCTTGGGAGTTTTCTTATTCTTCTTTTTTCTATCATCGTCTTTGGCGTCTTCCTCTCTGCCTTCACTTGAACTCTCGGTCTTCACTACTGGACTGGGCTTGGGGTTTTTCTTCTTCTTCTTCTTTTTATCACCGTCTTTTGATTTCTTTGCATTATCAGACCTTGTATAATCGTCCTTTTTCTTTTCATTTTCTTTAGACGAGTATTCAAATACAGCATTCAATTGACCTTTGACCAAACCAGTAAGTAAGACCGAGAGTATACATGCTGGTGACAGATAAAGAAGCGCCGGTTGAGCTGCCTTGAATGTATGCATTACAACTATTGTTGTGATAAGTCCGACAATATATGAAGCCAAGCATGACTTGAAATATAATGTTGGATACTTAGAGTGTCTATGTGCATTTGGATTCTCTTTCAAATAGAGAGTATGATCAAGGCGAAGGCATAAGGCGACAAAGATACCTTAGGAAACAAATACATACAGTATAAGATTATTTTATATTCAATGAGACAAAAATTTAAATATAAATATAAACATTAAATAATACATGTAACTCTTACCAGGTATGACAATGTCGCCTAGTCCAAGCATGGTAAATTGTGTGGCTTCAGCTGTGGCGTCGCTCCCTAGACCAAACAAGTACTTGGGCCATAAAACTTTAACGGGCGCATCAAAGCTCTTGGCCACGGTTACCATAACTTCAGTGCCAAACACCCAGAATATATCATAGATAAATAACCCAGACAACAGGGTCATTCCGGTTTTAAATGAATCGAGAGATAACATCTGAATCCCATTAAATGCAAAGGAAAGTCCCAGAATATTAGAAGCAATCCAGTTCTTGGTCAATACATAATATATCGTGAGAACCACCGATCCCACAGCTACTCCAAGCTGTACAGTAGAGAAACTAAATCTATAGATTTCTATGTGAAAAGGTGAAATCATTAGACGCAATGTTAGAAAATCAGCGCCTATCACATAATTTTGGTTAAAATTTCATACCTTTAGCCTTCTTAGTTACAACGATTTTATATGGATCCAGTTTGACACCACCGGCTTTCTTTACGATATATATGCCGACGGTAGTAGTGGCAGCAATACCCAAGAAGCCAAAGTATGCGGTAACCAAGTAATTGACATACTCCTTATTAAAGAGTCGAAATACCAAATACAATCCAAATAGCACTCCGGATCCGATCAAGGGAAACATATACGCATCGTGTGTCGACAGCGATTCGGTAACAGATTCTTCTTCTGACGAAGAATCGCTTTCCTGGGCTGCAGATGGTGGCTTGGTTTTACGTTTCTGTATTAGAAAACAACAGGTAGAGACCAAAACGGATATAAGTTACCACTTGACAAGTAGATAAGAGATGTATATTTATTTACAGTGTGGTATCATAGAATATATGACAGAATGAATCAACTCCATTCTCTCGCGACAGGACATAATAGTCAGTCCGCCATCTCACCTTCGGCCACTTTATGGCTGCAAAAGACCCATAATATATGGGAAGCACCGCCATAATACATAATGCAGTATAAGCTACAAAGAGATTTAGTTCCATGTTTCACGTTTGGATAATATTCTTCTAAAGATTGTAAAGAAATGGTTGTACAGCTTGGGGGAATGGTTTGTCGAAGCCAAATAACGACAACCGAACCATTGCCGGATTAAAATAAGCATGACAAATAAAAAAACGCAACATTTTATAAAGCTATTGATTGCCATGAATAGTCATGTGACGTTGTTAATATATTATTGTGGTACGCTTACTTGGAAAAGTATTAAAGAAATCTCTACTAGTGTGAATAAGAACATAACTTATTATATATTACATGAATCAAAGTCGTCCAAAATCGTAGGGGAGACGCAAAGTCCTGCCATCACTCATACCGAAGAAATTCCCTAAATAATACAACATAGCCCGATATCTTGTATTTTACATCGTATACACGTCATCTTCCTATTCACAAAATAAATAACTATAATTAAGAGATTATACAGTCTCTCCTATTCTTCCTCTTTTCCTTTTCAGCTGATGACGCAGTGGTGAATGAACTGCCCGTTGATACTTGAGAACCACTGTCTGTACTGCTTTTCTGTTGGTCTTTCCTGGATTGACTTTGTATTTGTGCTTGTAGTTGTTGCTGCCTCAGGGCCTCTTGTTCTCGCTGACGTTTTTTATGAATCAACTGTTGTCTGTGGAATTCAGCTTCTTGAGCTTCTTCTTCTTGAAGGCTTAAAGCTAGAGCATAACTGTGAATAAACAAAGAGAATGTAAATACTTGTGGTGTATAGGATATAGTACGGAATGAGTTTGTTTTCTCTTCATTCGTATATAGTTACGTACTCTTGATCGCCACCGCCAATATTCTCGCTAGTCTCATTGTTCACATCAACATAATCTCCGCCACTAATTTCAGCTACTTCAAACTGCCAATTAACAAACTCTGAGGCACCCTGGTCGACATCTCTGAGCGACTCCCAAACAATCGATCTCTCGTGGGCAAAACTAGCGTCTGTCACGAGTGTGTAGAGTGTCAAAGTTTGCGGATGTTTATAAATTGTGGAAAACTTGTGTGGAGGGAGAACAAATTACACCCAGATTAGCTTTACATAATAGACACGCGTAGTGTCACGTGTAACCATCACCATTGAACTTTAGACTCACATGATTATTCCGGAAGAGTGCATATAAATGTCCGGGTTTTAAGGTTTCTGATAATGTTAGCAGACCATGATAGGTGAGCTGGGTAGCAGTTCTATCAAGGAATTGAGAAACTACAAAGGCTAAAAACAATGGGACGATAGGAGTTAGTCGTATAGTGGTTCATTAGGAAAACTAAGCATTATGAATATATGTGCGTTATTCGATGTAGTTTACCATCTCTGACTGTCTCTTTATCTTTAGCATCCAATGTGTCACCGGAAGTAAATTTCCTATAGTCTGACCCGCTTGATCTGTCAACGTTTTCAACCACCACACCTTTTCCCAAGTGATCTCCGCGAACCACGCATTCTACTGCTCGATTATAACTTCCACACTTTCCAACTAGAACATCCCAAAAATCCGTTTCCTGCGGGTCAACGACCCATCCATGAACTAAACCTACGTTGAAAATATCAAACACGGATAATTCTGCAGTTGGCTCGAAACCATGGATTGAGTTGAAACGAACATTGACATCCAAGCCAGTTTGCAAGGAGGGGATTATTGAGAGTGCAGTATGAAGCGTGTGCTGATAGTCGTGCAGAGATGGTCTTAATAGTGAGTCTACATTATTTGCACCGATTGTTTCTCCACTCTTTGGATTTGATTCTAATGCTGCAAATGTTTCTGCTTGTATCTAACCGCGATAAAAGCGTGCAAAAATGAGTAAGCCGTGGTTTAAAAATATTGAATGGAAAAAACAAGTTTGTCATAAATCTACCTCGGCCTCGTTCTGAGGTATCACGTTCAGGAGATAATCGCCCAGTAATTCTACCAAATACTCGTAAGACACGGTAGGTCGATCATATGGCCGTATCTCTATGTCATTACGTAGTATAAGGACATTACCTTCGTGATGAACATGATCGACAGGAGAATGTATAGAAAAAATAAAGAATAAGATGACTAAGATCATCTTGAAACATGACCATATGATTTGATAGAATAACAAGAAAACTTACAGAGCGCCAACAGTGGACATGGTCCGTTTTCTACGTTTAAAATATACAAAAAGTCAATATAAGAGTGATAACGGATCGGTACTATATTATTCAGACTTATAGAATTCGAGATACATTGACCGGACCGTACTTGTCTTCAACGAGTCAATGAAGAGGTACCATACTTTCGAAATACTATTCGCAAGATAGTCTACAACCGAGAAGCCCATAAATCTTACCGTTCTGCGTGATAATTTTCACCTTTCTGAGTTTATGTGCACGAATGTCAAACCACTCGAGGGCTTTGAGCTGATATTCGGTGGCTACAGAGTCTTTTGTCGACTCTTTTGACACCTTAGCCGGTGTGGTTGACGGAGAAGTAGCTGTGGTATCTGACGCATTCGTGACCGTATTATCTAAATCAACAGCCTTTCCTTTCCCCTTCAACTCGGTTGAGACGGCAGATGTAGTTGGGTGATCGTATAGTGATTCATTAGTGGCATTGCCATTGACTTGATGCTGTGCAGGTGCAGAATTAGTCGAAGAAAGTGCTTCTTCAAGAGAATGGGACGGTGTCGAAGCTGATTCCGGACTTTCTTGGGCTGGTCGGAGTTTTGGCAGTTCTTGTTCTACAAGTTGCGATTTCTCTGAAGCTTGTTGCTTCTGTTCCGGTGACGGCTCTTGTTCTTGTACCGGTTCCGGTTCCGGTTGTGTCTGATTTACAAGAGAGGCTTGCTCAATTTCCTCCTGCTGGACAATATTCCGTTCAATTTCTGTCATTGTTCTAGACAAATGCGTGTGTGTACCCCTTTGAAGGCTAGAATAATTTCATGCGCAGACAACGATCATGGTAGTACTGTGCAACGAAACACAGTGCAACCGAAATTTTTATTTCTTCCTCATCAAGAGAAATAAAGCTTATTTACAGAAAGATTATAGGATCATAAATTGACATTATGTCCACTCTTAATACAAGCTTTCTTTTAAAGACGCTTGCAAGGGTTGATTGTTCATTTTAGTTCATCGGTAATACTACACTTACAATATGCTCTCCTCAACTAACTATTTATTGACCACTCCGATTTCTAACATTTGCGCGGGTTTCTTTAAAATATTGATCTGTTAGCAAACTCGAACAGGATAAATTTCGAAATTGCAAACACGGGACAAAGTTACATACCATTGTTATCTCGACTTCGTGCTGGATTTCCGCGTCCCGAGCCACGATATCCACCTTCTCGATATCCACCATCTCGATATCCACCATCTTTGCGTGAACCCTGTCCATCTTGGAATCTGATTCCACCCCCACCCCCACCCCCGCTCCCCCCTCTATTTCCACGATAATTGTTATTACGAAAACCACTTCTATTCACCCCTGGGTAAACAACTTGTTGGGAAAAGTTGCCTTGCCCTTGTAGCTGATTAGAGTTTGAATGACTACTAGGCGATAAAGGTTGGGTATTATAATGTCTATCTCCACGCTGAGATTGTAATCTTGATGGTCGTTTACGTTGGTGATGAGAGTGTCGACGACCTTGGTCTCCTGGGCGTCCATCTACAGGTTGTTGCGGTAAAGCATTGGGTTGAGTTTGACTTTGTGCATCATGAGATGCATCCTCTTGTTCATTACCGTTGATAGGCGCCCTAATCGGTTCTTCGACAGTCGATGCTGGAGCGGTTGTGGTCTGAGGTTCCTCAGGCCGACTTGCGAATAAATTGTGTTCGTTGAGAGGTTGAACCACTGTCGAAAAGTTGACTGTGTAACGATCTGTTAAAACTACAGTGTCTATTGGAACTGAGGCTTCGTGACTGTTGTCAGTCGGTTCGTGAATAATGGCATTAGTCATTGCGGTTTCCATTATCTCTACTGTTTGCACTATAGAAAAGAAACAATTAACATTTGGTTTACTTCAACAACCAACATGCGAGGGTTCCACGATAAATACCTTGTTGAACATTTTCACTTGTTAGTGATACCGCAGAAATTTCTTCCGGAGCTACGAAGCAAAGTAATATCAGTATTGCAGCAAAGCTGATCGTCATACCAATTATCCGAATATACCTGTTCCGTCATATTCTATAATTACATCGGCTTCCGTCTGAAATTTCGCCGATTCCTGAAAAGTTTCAGGGTCTTCTTCTATGGGAGGATTCACACTCCAGGCGTGAATGTTTGCGTCTATACGGGAAATGTCATACATGTCGTCAAGTACGGTCAAACAGAAATTGGCATTCATATAATGACCTACTTACACGTTATTCCAGATGAAGTCTCAACTTCTGTTTCACTTGATTCAACTCTGGTTATGACTTCATCAACGCCGTCTTTCAACTTTCTTACGTGTGTCATGATTTCATTGATTACTGTTGGCCGTAATTCCTCCTCAACAGAATCCGCCGCCTTATTGGTGAGAAGTTCTCTGAAATGTTCAACGACGTTCATCTCTTTTTCAGATAATGCAACAAACTCCATTTGGGTGAAATGAACAAGGCGAAAGAATTGTAAAAGAATTATCAAAGACTCGGCATAATTCGCCTGAACAAAGAACATATTAAATAAGAATTAATGTCAGAAGTGTTTGGCGTCATTCCGAGAGTGAATTTTCATGAGACTTGCCTCTTGTTCTTTCAGAGCTTGCTCAATAGCCTGTGCACGTTCAGCTTCCTGAGCCTTCTTTTCTCTCTGTTTATTCTTCATTTCCTAAGAAGTGTGACAATTTAGACCAGTTTAGAAAAGTTCCCTAATCAGATAAATATTTGAAAAAGTGTTCATACTTCTGCTTCAATCACAGCCATACTCTGTAGCACTTCCTCAAACATTCTGATGGTTGTCGAAACTTCGTTTTTCCTCTCCAAATTCTGTAATTGCTCGGCATGAAGTTTCGATTTTCCCTCTGGCCCAGAGTTAAGGAGCGCTTCCGCTTTTTCAATTTTAAGCTATGTAAGATAAAAAATGTTGAGCATACACACAATAATCAGTATAACGTTCTGTCAATACACAAAAGTTGTAGCATTTCAGCGCGCAATATATGGCCATAAGCTTGGAATTAATTAGGTAAAAACAGAATATGCCTCCTCTTTCTTTCCACTCTCTATTGTATGACCGTCTAGATATGTTGTATATACTCCCTAATAATCAATGAAATGCTTACCATCCTTTTTTTCTCAGCTCGTAACCTCTTTGCAACTACTTCAACATATGGTATCTTGTTCTTATTAGCGGGGTCTGACCCATTGTCAACATTCCCAGGTGGTATGACCGGAGACTCTAGTTCAGGTAAGCAAAACCGGGGATTATTTTCAGTTTCAATTTCCAATGAATTCTTCTTAATTTTGTGTCTTTGTGATGTTTGACAAGAATCATTCCTACCATTTAATGAACCGACGAGAACAGGCGTTTCGGTGTCAATTACACCGTTTACGTCTTTATCGACGGATGCAGTCGGAACTTCTTGACCGTGTTTGTCACCTTGAACGTTTTCGACTTTATTGCTAGCTGAGTACCTGTTTCTGTTCTTTTTACTGGACCTCTTGGAAGGCTGCGGAGAAGCGTGACCGTTTGCTTGTGTAGAGGTAACTGCTGAAGTAGCGTTGGGCATTTTTCGAATACGAGGCGATTTCTGCAGTCGGAGGATTTCAGGGAACTCCCCCTTAGAGTTTTTTTGGCGTTTATATTAATATGACATATCTGATAAATCACGTGTTTGAGATTTGAACAATTTGAGGTCGACGCCACGTGTTCACATTCTCGAGACAACTTCTTTTCATTTGTCTCACTATTATGAGACAACCGACATCTTTATGTATATCGACATACATTGTTGGTAATTGCAAACGTGAGCTGTTTTATTTATGAGATATACAACATTTGATGTGTAACCGTACAGATGAATTAAACGAGTTTTGGATTGAGACATCGTTCCATGCGTATATATGCACAAACTGCCTTACGAGTATAGGTATTACTATACTGATGTTGATTTTACTTGCTCAAGTAATTTTGAGTCGTTTCTATATGCTATTATTATATTTGAGAAATATTGAATCCTTTTTTTCTTTTAACAATTATGGCTTAAAAATCAATAGAAATCTTTGGAGTATTGTTAAAGATGTTGAGAAACGGAAGCCAAAAAATTTTATGGAAACGGGCAACTCTTATTAATTTAATAGGCTTGATAAAACGGAGATATGACTAATTATTGAGCGAGCATATACATGTATTATGAGCTGTTATTCAAACCAGTTGGCATACTGTAAAATTGACAAGCGGTTACTGAGTAATATTGATTTAAAAATATATCTTTTTTTTTTGTTACAAACTGCATGTTGCTATTAATAATATTGTTATTCTATTAATAGCTATCTTTGGTCAGATATTAGCAATTCTAAATAAGGTTTAATATTAATATCTTACATACGTCAACAATTTCTCATAAGTGATATAGTGATAGCTTTCGTATTCGAAACTATCATATCGTTTCCTCGGAGTCAAACGAGCTCGATAGGGATGTGCGTGTATTTTGTTGTCAAATAATCAAATAATTACATAATTAATAACAGACTCTCAGTTATAAACACGTAATATTAAAACCGTTTTATTATTTATAACATACACAATAATACGATTATGCAGTCAACTTGCGTTATTTTCTAATCGTAAATTTACCAGCTGTTTTCCCCTCAATCCTACTCTTTAGCATTTATTATAAGTCAAGTTGTTATTTTATTGTACTTCCTGACAAAATTCTCAAGGTCGGTTATATAATTAATTTTTACTGTAGGGATAGTATCCTGAACTTGAATGGTCAATAAGATAGTTGAAATGGCATGTACGTCACTACGTGTATGTCAGGAATACTGTAGGTACACTATTGAAGAGATGTGTCCTTGGAAGACCACTCTATTAGAAATCGCGCTAGACTAAGAACATTTGAAGCTTTTTCTGATGCTTTGGGAGTACGTGGGTGGATCAAAAAGCTCTTGCCGCTTGGCTTATTTGAAAAACTACACATTAATTTTAAAACCAACTAAGCTATTTCTTCAAAATAGTCATCTCTTACCTTTATAGATTTTTGTAACCTCTTTCAAAAGACTTATGATATTTCTCTTGTGGGATACTATCAACAACTGCCTGAATATGAAGAGCCCTAAACAGATTTTTAAAAATTTTACATGACGTTATATATAGGCTTAGGATGGACGTAGCAATAATTCGACTCAAAAAACCCCATATTCTTAGTGCGATGAGGCACAGCATTGTAGCACATTGTAATTGTACCTTCAAAGCTCACCTACTTTCGTATCTCTTTTTATTAAGCATATTGAGGATATTTTCAACGATTTTTAAATTGCTTTGCAAAGGTCTTCTGGATCAAGGGTCGTTTTCCAAGTAGTTTTTTCCATCATTGAAATTTTTAATCAGCTGTCAAACTGCGCATAATGTTAGTGCATTATGCCTACAAGACTTCATTAATATTGCATTAATTTTACTAACATCTATCGCGTCGTGCCATTTCAACAGATATGTAGAATCGGTATTGTTCACGTGATTTTCGAGCCAGTGGTTTCGATATCTCAACAACCGTCCATTTAAAACAAACCAAATTTTATTTGGTTTGAAGATCAGAACCTGAGCTTTTGTTTGATTAGTATAATATTTTCAGCCCGTAAAACGAGAGGCAAAAACTTTTTGATCCACCCACGCATATGTAAATAGTACACACATAAATAGAGATTCAGGATCACTAAATAATGATTATTGACTTTAACAATGGACAACTTGTAAACTTTAATCCCGGTGAGTATGTTGCATTTGCTATTGTTTGCCTAGATCGCATAAACGTTGCCAAAAAACAATAGCCAAGTTATCAGTTCAATGATGGGACTGCGCATTCAACTTTGTTTGATATCAAATAATACAACCAACTGCGATAGCTAACAAGAATGACTTTATAATGGGGAGCTCTAATCTCTATAACAGAATTTGCAGCGTGGAATGGCTAACACCCACTGTGTATCATAAAACGTGGTGTTGAAAAAAGGGATACCTTACTAGATTGAAGAAGTAAATTTAAACCTTTTTAAACACGATAGCTATTTTGGAACGTCAGTTCCTGAACATGTGAGGCACGTTTAATGAACACGTGATTTTTGATTTTCAAATTATGACGAATTTATTATTATGCGGAGTTATTAAATGCATACTAATACAAGAGTGACTCTATCTTAAAAATATTTGTAGACTTAAACGAACAGAAGCAGCTAACGGTCTATCGATTCCCGTATGCATTCTCCGCCCGCTGTTATTATTGTTTATTGTTATTTTGCATACCTTAGTTTTTTCAGATGATGGGTGCTTTCGTATTCTCTTTGCTTACTGGCCCAATCGACAAACCTAGCCACCCCTTCATGTTCTCTCAACTTCTCCAGTGTGTTATATTCGAGCGCCATCTTTTCATGAGGGATTAATCGGTGACAAGCGGAATGGCACTGTCGACAAATCATTACTCCACGTGTATTGACCTCTGTTTTCGTGAAAAGCTTTTTTCTGAGGACCTTCTTGTGAGTTTTCTTCGGGATCAAGTGATGGAAAGTGAGTGGCATGTGACGGTGACAGAGTACGCATGTGCCTGGTTCGTAGGAAGCTTCGTCGTCGTCGTCGTCATCATCAGAGTTTGATTCGGAATCGGAGTTGATGACAAAATCTGAATCGGAAGCGGGGTTCGAATTAATGAATATCTTCCACTGTTTTGTAATTTCGTTACACATTTCCAGACAATGTTTTTCACTTTCACAAATGCTGAAAGTGAGAAAATCGTCTTTAACTATATCGCATACTCTCGATGCAATCTCATCATCTGCTAGTCTAGTCTTTTCATCTTCTTTCATCCTCAATTGCTGTATTAATCCTTGTTTCCACACTTCTTCCACAAAATATTCGATAAGCCCTTCAATGCCTTCTACAATTTCAGGATTGTGCTGATACAGAACTTGATATAGAACATTCGCCAACTCGACGATACGTTTGTTGGGGGAGTTTGGCCCAGGGGAAGAAGTGGGTCTGATTTCGTCTTGGTCTTGCATCATTGAATCGATTATTATACGAGAATAATGAGCTTATTATCATTGTGAATTAGCAGGGCTTGTTTATTTAAGCATGTTCGTAGAAAACTACATTAACCAATAGATCTCTTTAATTTCAATTAGCAATTCTACTGATTAATCCGCAGCGCTTTGTTTACTACGTACCGCAGTTTGTGTACATTAATTATTAGGAGGATGTGTAACCTAAAAAAATCCATCGATTAAATTATTATTTTGTAGGTTTTATGAAGAAATCTATTCTCTTTCCAAGTATTGGCGATAATAATGCACAAATTTATCTATCAAATTTCGGCCGCCCATTCCTTGCTATATATGTAGAATTGGAAGAATATCTAATAAAGAATGGTAATTCGTTAGACATGATCACGGTTCAATGAAGAGAATAAAGACGTTCATTGTTTACTTACTATGAAGTCGAAAGTTAGAGTGCCTCCACTGCCCACTAACCACGAAAGATTTATAAGCAGATATGTTGGGTCGGTTGAATGGAAAAGGACAGACTGTGGAAACCGAGACGAAAGGGATTAGCACAGAATACACGAGCTAAATAATCTCATTGATTCATTCATTCTCACCAGAACATAAGCCACATTCCCTAATACACTGAAGCCGAACATAGCCAACGATAAACCTTCGCAAGACTTGTTGCAGAAATTCAAAAATATCTGGGGTATACGTGATCCCACTACAATGACAAAAGAATGAAAAACGTTCAGCAGGAAATTCATATGACGTTACTAGAAACAAATTCCATATAATGTCAAGGCTTGATATACTCACAATAAAGGAAAGCACTTCCCCATCCTAACACTTGCGGCAACCACAAGAACTCTAGGGCTTTATCTCTTTTTTCATGTGTACTGTGGTCACTTTCATGCTGTATCTTGTTCTCGATAAAATAGCATAGCAAAGCCCCAAAGGCGCAAGCAATGACGGTCAGACAGAGAACTTTAAGGATAGTTGATAGATAGGAAGTACGCCGGGGAGGTGGAGCCTCACCAAGGAGGGGTGTTCGTTCGGCGGCATATGAATTGTTGCGGTAGTAAAGCAGCTGGCAGAAGAGAACCAGATCGGAAATGCAGTAATAGACTGCAAGGATTATCTAAAAAGAACCAAGTGGAGGGTAACTTGTGAGAAAAACAAAAGCCATTGTGCGGGAGCGTGTAATTATATTGCTGTCGCAATATTAATTCATATTCATATTATCATTTATTCTATTTAAATTGACCCGAATAAGCGTCAATGCATATTCAACTCGACGTAAATAGGATATAGGTATGCGTGGCAGTACCCATGCATATGTATGCGATAAACGATAATATGAATATGCATGTGATTCTATTAAAACCTAAATAGAAGCATTGACGCAATTATGACTAAATAAATGAGCCGAAATTTCAATGCTTCCGATCCGACCGTTACCAGAATTTCTCCACACACTCATTCCCTTAAAATACAGTCCCATATTCTTTCAGGATTTCCCTCCACAGTACCACTATGATTTAATATACCCATAGTTGTACTACGATGATCAGCTAAAAATATAAATACGAATGTTCTTCTACGTGATCTACGATCCCCTTAGTCGAATATTCCAATTAAGTGGTTTATTCTAAACGTACTCTTTAGGTATGATTTCACGCGGAGAAGAGACTTGAACGTTTAACCGTAATACGTTGTCAAGCGCAGCAGGATGGGACTAACTAATTACTTACCATGGTGAAAAGTAAATGTTGGAGGACACTCCCGGCCAAGTTGAGAAGGTCGCCAGCAAGCCATAGACATACAAAGGTAATCGATACCGAGTCGCTTGATTTGGTTTTATAGATAGCCCATAGTTGTCTTTGTTAAGTGGGATAATAATAATCAAGTATTAGTATTAGTATCTTGGTGAACAAGGTATCCCCTCTATGTTTCTCTTTTCTCTCTTTTCTCTCTTTTCTCTCTCTCTCTCTCTCTTTTTCATGACTTACGGTAGTAATACGACGAACCAACAAGCAATGGAGATATAGCCGGCGATGGCCGAGTAGCTATCGTTATGTAGGAACTCTCCTAACCAGCGGAACATGTTAAGACCGTCTTCAAGCCTGGGACAGTATGTCAAAAATTTATAAGAGACAAACTCTGTTGCTATTTGATTGTGCCTTTTTATAGGGTGTCAAAGCGGATAAGTTTCAGCAATAATTGCTAGAAAATCGTACTGGTTAAATATACACAATCGGCCATATCAAATTGACTTGTCCCGATAACGATTAGCGAATGAGGTACTAATCACATTTGCAGCGGTGGCCTATCAAACATGTAACATATCACACAAGGCATGCATCATTCAGATGTCTGAGATAATAACTGTCAATGCATTATGATACAGGTGACACATCCGTTATCGAACCTACCTGGTATAGTTCACATGTATGTACAGTCAAATTTAGTATAAATTCCTTGTCGCTTTTGAATAAACAAATCCTTAAAGTTTGTTATTATTATTATTGTATTCTTGTGCGCCAAGACAAAAGGAAATAACATAAAAGATAACACAACCATAAATGATAACATAAACGCTGACATGAAAAGATAACGGTCTAAAAATACCAATAATCAAGATGAAGATTGTAAACATAGGAATCGTGTTGGGAATGACAAATATTAATATAACCACCCGTTCACTTTTTGCCGCTGTCAGTCGTATCACCTATACTATCCGCAGTTTTGATTCACCAGATAGTGCAAATATTAATATCACATGTTCTAACAATACACACTTTGTGGTTATTTTGGGAACGACAATGGTCAAAAGCGCAAAAATTGTCTTCTCACCCAAGAAATGCGCCACTGCCAAGTAAAGGAAATAATGAAAACCATGAGGCAGGAAATTACCTGTAAAGACGCAGTCAGATAAGCCCAAACCCCACATGAGAGACTCTTCTCTTCGCTCGTATGCGCCCCTCCTTGCTAAGCTTGCATGTTCAACGTTAAGCTTTGCTTTGCAAAGCGGATTTTCGTTCACCATACTCCGCCCATCAAATCATCACGCCCCATTAGTATCTCCCCCTTCGTGGCTTAGTCAAAAGGCGACAATCGTAACCCAAGCCCCCTCCTTTGTGTCCGTCACACTCAGCCTCCCATCGGAGGCTTTTTCGATATATTAAGGTTGACAAAAAATTCAAGACCGTCTCACGAGCAGAAAAATTCACTTTTTTTCCTCGCTTCGATTATATATCGCGTTAACTTTGCAAGGCCCGGCACATAGCGATTAGCTATTGTTTATATAGTTGCCGATTAATATTATTGCATTACGTATCCATCGCGCTTCCTCTAACTCCACAGACCAACTCTCCAAATGTCATACTATCCGGGAGGTTCAAACCAAGGAGGCTCGGACCAAGGAGGTTATCCTCCTCAAATGCCAACAGCTACGACAGAATATACAGCAGCTGAATACGCTACCTCCTACCCTCCCACTCAGTCATCTTATCCGCCACCTCAACCTTCCGCTTATCCACCTACTCATGGCACGGAATCATCGTTTTTAAACACGGATCCCGCATCAGAACCTCTCCTAACTACTCAAACATCAAAGCCATCGGTCGCCTTTGCTGACGACCCCCAACCACAGCGACATTATGGTGAAGCTCCGCGTGTACAACCAAGACGATACAAGACTACCAAGAGGAAAATTCAATTGACTGCGGGTAATTTGGTTTTAGATCAACCAATAGCATCCGATTTATTGAAAATATGCCCCAGGCAAAAGGAAGAAGAATTCACGCATCTAAGATATACGGGTGCTACTTGTGATCCAAACGACTTTGGGAAGGAGAATTATAAGCTCAGGCAGCAGTTGTACGATAGACGAACGGAATTGTTCATCGTGCTAACCATGTACAATGTAAGTTAAAAATTCGATTTCGTCACGTGAATGGCGCAGAAACAAGATCTCGATTGTACATTCCCCACCTTTTATTTCACACGTTTCACATTTCTATAAAAATAGGAAGACGAAGTTCTCTTTGCCCGCACGTTCCATGGCGTAGTCAAAAACGTTGCCCATCTCTGTACCCGAGATAGGTCACGTATGTGGGGCAAAGACGGTTGGAAAAAAGTCGTGGTTTGCATCGTATCCGACGGTCGTACGAAGATCAACAAACGTACGCTTGCATATTTGGCTGCTGTCGGAGTATACCAGGAGGGGATTGCTAAGAATGCCGTAAACGGACGCGAAGTCACTGCCCATATCTACGAATATACTACCCAGATCTCGATCGATTCCGACATGAATATCCGAGGTTTTGATAAGGGAATAGTACCAGTGCAAGTATTGTTCTGTTTGAAGGAAAAGAATGCAAAAAAGATCAATAGTCACAGATGGTTTTTCAACGCTTTTGGGCAAGTGTTGAATCCGAACGTTTGTGTACTTTTGGACGTGGGAACCAAGCCAGGAAGTACCAGCATCTATCATCTGTGGAAGGCATTTGATATTAATTCCCACATAGCAGGAGCGTGTGGAGAAATTGTTGCTTTGACAGAAGGTTTAAATCTGCTTAACCCTCTTGTTGCAACACAAAATTTTGAATACAAAATGTCTAATATTCTCGATAAACCGCTTGAATCTGTCTTTGGCTACATCACTGTGCTTCCTGGTGCTTTCTCTGCTTATCGATACATTGCCCTGCAGAACGATAAGAACGGAAACGGTCCACTCAAGCAGTATTTCCTGGGTGAGAAGCAACATGGCGGAGATGCAGATATATTCACGGCCAACATGTACTTGGCTGAAGACAGAATTCTGTGTTTCGAATTGGTGGCCAAGAGGGAAGCCTCGTGGTTGTTGCATTACGTGAAGAGTTCTTACGCTGTAACTGACGTGCCCGATCAAGTGCCGGAATTGATTAGCCAGAGAAGGAGGTGGCTGAATGGAAGTTTCTTTGCGGGCGTTTATGCTATTGCAAGCACGCTTGCCATTTTCAGGAGCGATCATACGTCCATTAGAAAATTTTTGTTGTGCGTTGAAATGGTTTATCAAGCATTCAACTTGATCTTTTCTTGGTTCGGTTTGGTAAGAAAAAGAATTTTTTGGCAGACTGGCGTTGCTTAGACCTCTATCTTTTAACTTTTACTAAACGTATCTTTATCATGAATGATAGGGTAATTTTTACTTGACATTCTACATCTTGGGCAATTCTCTAACGGATCCTCAGACAGCTCAAGGATTGTGGGATCCATCGGTTGGCGACGTGATATTCACGATTCTAAGATGGCTTTACATATCACTTCTTATTGCATCCTTCGTCCTGGCTTTGGGCAACAGACCTCAAGGGTAAGTCGATGATGCAGTTGCATGTTGAGCGAGTTGAATTTGACATGAATTTTATTTTTATTCGAATACCAATCACATTATTACCAATGTTAGTTTCAAATGGGCTTATATAACTGCCATGGTGTTCTTTGCTTTCCTCATGGCATACATGATGTTTGCTGCGGTCTGGATCACAGTCAAGGCCGTTAATGCCGCGAAAAACGAAACCTTTGGCGAACTTACTGGTGCCAACGTTTCAACTGCAAATGCAATACTGGGTAATCCAACATTCCGTAACGTCATCCTTTCACTTTCGTCTACATATGGTTTGTGGCTCATTGCCAGTTTCCTGTTCTTCGAGCCATGGCACATGTTTACTTGTTTGGCACAATACTTGTTAATGGTGCCATTCTATGTGAACATTCTCAACGTTTATGCTTTCTGTAATACGCACGATGTCAGGTATGTACTAAAAGAAAATGCATAACTGAAATCTGGGTTCAAAAACCCGTCATATTTACTCGTTACTCATTTCTATTTATCGCTTTTCCTAGTTGGGGAACAAAAGGTGACACCGCCCCTCCTAAACATGATTTGGGGACTGCACAAGCAGCTCCAGGTAAAGGCACGGTAGAAATAGAGGTCGCTGAAGAGAAGGATCTGAACGTCCTCTATCAAGAGGCGGTCGATACGATCAAGACAAAAGTCGCAGAAGAACCCAAACACAGAAGTGCCTCTGAAAAACAAGAAGACTATTATAAAAATTTCCGTACTCGTGTAGTATTGGCCTGGATAGTCACCAACGGCGCTTTAGTTGGTATTCTTACAAGTACTAGTGAAACGCTCTCCAAAATTCTAACGGAAGAACAGAGGAGCAATATTTACATGGCTATTATACTTTGGAGCGTAGCTGCACTAGCCTTTTTCAGATTCATTGGATCGATGTTGTATCTTCTCTTCAGATTATTCACTGGTAATTAGTCATAACAAGCATTGGTTATTATAGAAGTTAATTTCGATTCAAAATGTAAAATAGCTTGTGTTTGTCGAGTATTTATTGGGACAACGTTTATCTGTACTGTAAATAAAAATGCATAACTATTTATTTCTAAATGAAAAGAGAAAAAGAGTTTAGTAATTTACAACTAATGAGCTGGCATACAAGGACAAATGATGGAGCTGATTGATAATGTCTCTAAAGTGCGAATTTGATATAAATACAGTTTCAATGTCATGCCATTCGCATTTTTAACAGCTTTTCCTCTATTACTATGTATTATTATATTATATAGCTCATTACAACAACGATATATTGTTCCATACTATAGAAGTATGCTTCATAAATCAAATCCTCGTAAAGTGGGTCTGACCCAGTTTACTCCCTGCATCTCAATGACCCTCGATACTGCTCTTTCGAAAGCAAATATCTCCTCTTCGCCCGTGAATATTGGGTTGGCCTTGTGTTCAGGGCCATGAAGATCCAGATCGTCCATTAGAGTTCTATGATGGTCCTCGAGAGGATTCGAGTCTTCTTCAGTCGTAAAGAGCTCGGTGATTGGTACTTCAGCTGAGCATATGAGCGTCGTCTATAATATATGACTTTTGTTAATGATTTGTAAAATAACTTATAAAAAAAACGTTAAACGACAATACATACTCTCGTATCATAAATTGCATCAATAAATGTAATGAATCTCCTTGCTTCATTTCTCATAGCCAAAGTCATCCTCGGGATATCAGTTACAAATATTGTCTTGTAATGTCTCACCAACTCTAAATAATCCGCCGCACTCAAAGGCATCTTACATAACTCATCGAAAGTAAACTTTGCTACAACTCCCACTGCCTGAGGCACGATCAAAGACCGTCCCCAGAAATCCAGTTTATGCTGTTCAACTTCCCTTCCGATAGTCAGCATAGAAAAAAGCTCTTCGATCTCGCTTGTTGACTGTTCTCCTAATGGCGTAAAGTATAATTTCATCCGATTTTTGGTGAGTTTCCGATAGTCGGTACCCGAGTCGAGATTTTGTACATGACAACATTCTTTGATGAGATCTATACACGGAAGGAAGGACTTTCGTTGAATGCCATTTTTATAGAGATCGTCTGGAGGACGATTTGAAGTTGTGACCAAGACGACACCACGATCGAAAAGCTTTTTGAGCAAACGTCGGAGAATCATTGCGTCTGCTATGTCGGTGACTTGGAACTCGTCCAGGCAGAGAACTATCGATTCGTTTGCTAAATCGGTTGCAATTGATGGTAGTGGATCGTAAGTCTCTGAATTCATTTGCTTTAAGTTATGTATGCGTGCATGGACGTCCAACATAAAGGGATGGAAATGGACTCGCCGCTTTCTTTTTGTCGAAAGCGTATTATAAAATAGATCCATTAACATTGTTTTTCCAGCTCCAACCCCTCCATGCAAATATATTCCTTTGGGCCTATTTTCTGGAAACAGATTCGGTTGTATTGAGAATAATTTGGATACCTAGACAAATCATATGATGCTTGAGTATGAAGTAAAAAATACCACAAGTCCCGATAATATAATGAGATTGTATCAAATACCCTGTATAAGATAGAATTCTTGTCGTCTGCATTCGTTTCAATGGGTATAAGTGGCGGGTCATAGGTCTGTAGACAGTCGTGTAAATTATGAAGAATTTGGACGACGCCTCGTTGGAATTCATCCTCTCTCGCCATCCCAGATGCCACTAGATTCCTGTAACTAGACATTGGACCAACTGAGGACAAGGGGAAACAAGTTGGTGTTCAAATCATTAGGAGAACCAGTTGCGATAAGAGACAGCAAAGAGTTGGTTTTCACATACATGTAGACAGCGCTACTTCGTCTGGGAAATCGTCGTACGTTACGGCTGATCTTTGTGGATAAAGTGATTCTGCTTGCACAGAGCTGGCGTTTGTACTGTGTGCTTTTGATAAGGTTTGCTGTTTGTCATCCTTTTTCCTACTCGCCATTGTAAGCAACGAAGAAAACGGATAATGACATCCCGGACAGTATAGATACCGAGGTGGTAGCGGTGATCTGATTAAGCCGTTATGGCGAGCCAGTAACCTTGGGATTCTATGAAAAGTAACCGCAGACATCTTTCAGCGAGGAAAGTTTTTACTGAAGAAACTATAAAGGGTAATATTAATTTTGTGACAAGTGGAGAAAGATAAATAGGAGATATAATAACAATACATGGGGAAAAAGGGTCTTGCGTAGTTTATCTGCAAAGACATGAGAATGCAGAGTAATAGTGAATCACGCGATATGGGCGGTTTGTTGATCAAAAAAAAATATCGATTTGCGTCACGAGGAAATGTTTAGTGGCACTAGAAATTTAACATGCAACCAAAAAGGCAAGGCATATTAATTTGCGGGCTTTTTAAGGAACTTTGTATAAAAGTCGTACGCGTCACGTATCGGATGGGATGGATTGTAATATATCAATAGTAGGCATTACTCATTTGTATCCCCTTCATTTATATCCCACCCTCGGATCTTGATGCTGGACGGATTTCACCTGTATAAATTTCCCTCAAATATTCCAGTATCCCAATTCCGGTATCATATTTATATCCCTGCAGTTATTTGTGTTACATAAAACTTCATGTCATAGGCGATCTACTTCCGTATCACTTAGTATTAGATTTCTTAAATTTATTGGTTGGCATGCAAGTTTGGACTGCACTTTATGTAGTATGTCCTTAAATGCTCGTTTATCACTAGCGCTAGCGCTAGAACTTTGTCTAAATCTGGTTTGTGGATCACTGATAAATTCTCTTCATTTCGTTCCCTAAATATAGCTAAACCCGCAAATTTAGTATACAGTTGACGCTGTCTATACCGAACTGGCCGGCTGGAGGATTTTAGTTCGTTATAACCAGTTCGTTATAACCAGAGCTTGCTCCGATATGTCACGTGACAACACCTTTTACAAATTCAGTCACGCTGCTATATAACGACATCTCGTTACAACGACAGAAATCTTGCTGAACGAAAATTTTATATTGCTTAGTCGTCGTATGTAAGTTAATTCTCGATATAAGGACATTCTCGATATAGTGACCATTTGGATTGGAACCGAGCGTGTCGTTATATCGAGACCCACTTGTAATATACTTTGCTTATTTACTAAATCTAATAATACAACATTCAAAATCGAAAATAGAATAAAAACTTTATCAACTGCTTGTGCATAATGAAGCTACTCAATATCAGGACTCTTACTTCCTCATTTAACCTTACCAAATTATTAACTTGGTAAGGACTAGACAACAAGATTTCATCAATAATTTTACGCCAATAGTCTTCTGCCTTTTTGGCATAACGTTACACGTGATCTTTTATGCTTCGTGTGACAGTTCGTTATAGAAAATTTCGAAAGGTAGTTCGGATCCGTTATAAACAGATTTATTAGTAAAAGTTCGTTATAATAATAACCAGATTTATTAATTAGAAAAAATCGGGTCTGGCGATTCTGGTTCGTTATATCCAAAGTTCGGTATACAGTCGCACCTCGATATAGTCACTCTCGATATAGTCATATTTGCAATATAGTCACACTTTGCAATTTACCGATTCATTTTATATGAAATTTACCTCTATATAGTCCCATTTAGGTTAATAGTCAGTCACACCAATAATCATTATACGCTTTGCCCTTGAAGTAGTCACAAAATCACATTGAAACCTTTCCATATTGGTCAGTCTTTTGGGTTAATTCCTTAGACATGACCTGATATTAAAAAAAACAAACTTCAATTAAGCAGTTTTTTTATAATAAATAAGAAATTATGATACATATGTTACTGTGGGTGAATTAACTAATGCATGATTATTGATATAATAATACATATAATATTACCTTCATACAGTCACACAATTTAGTAACAGGCCTATTGAGTGACTATATAAAGGGAATTCGATATAGTCATACCTTGTTATAGTCACTCAATTTTCGTATCCCGAGGCCGTGACTATATCGAGGTGCGACTGTATCCACGTTCGGTATAAGCAGCGTCATCTGTACTACGCAAATTCAAGTGACGTAGAAAGACAAAGAAAAAATATGTCATTTGAGGACATCATTAATTGATATTGGCGAAAATTTATAGTGACGGTTTTTCGTGTTATCTTTCTTGTTTTTCGATTTGCCATATTCGACACCTCAAAAGGAGGGATGATAATGGCATCGAATTCGCGAATAAAAAATGCGACTCTTTTTACGAAGTTCGCTTTGCAGGTGTTTGATTTTTTGTCGCATCCGAATGATTGCCTTATCAAGTATGTTCTTTTCGAAGTGTTTCTTCCCTTTTTTATGGACTGATTCTTTGAGTTGCCTGAGGGTTTGGTTCTAAATTTCTTCTTGTTCCTTTTTAGTAGGGACAGAAGGAAGTTGAAAGTTAGCACCTAGTTTTAAGGTATTTACTACATAGTTTGGTAGAATGATATTAGAGATATTATTTACCCCATCGTTGGTGACTTTCTTTTGCTGTCACTTTTTTCTTTGGCATTGTTTTTTAATTACCATAGAAGTATGGATTTAGTAGTTAGTTCATAGATATAAGCGACAAGTTCTTCTTCTTAAACGTTTCGAACTAGAGGCAGCCAGCTTGTCCTTTATAGAAAGAAGATTGTCCATATGCTTGCATAGGCGAATGCCTTTAGTGGGAGAAGGGTGTACGAACGCCAGGGTCGATGGAAACTTTGTATGAATATCCGCTTGGGTTTCGCGGAGTTGTTTTTGCGTCTCGTAAACCCATGAAAAATTTCCATTCGTTACTTTTGCGAATATACGTAAACTTACAATCTGTAAGGAACAGACCATTTATTATTACGCCTTTTTTTTTTCGAAATGAAGCGGCTACAAATCGCGTTCCACGTGAATTTTGAAAAGTTCTGCGCACGAATTATCAGCAAAGAACTTCTTTGCTGATTCGTGGTTGATCCTAAATTTTGATTGATTATC